ACCCCACTAACATTTTATTGACCAAAACATTGGTAACAAGAGCAATTAGCAAATTTATGATACAAACAAGTGGGCCTATTCTTACATACACCCTCCTCAATCCTGTTAGATTATTCTGGACATGGCATTTCAAACATGGTGTATGTGCCACAAATTTTTCATTTCCCTGACTAATTATTTCGCAATGTTGTTTACAAGTTCTGGGAAATGGTTGGGTTGAAATATAATACAAAGACCTGTCAGTAGAAATCAAAACTTTTTACATATCAATAAAATTTATTGTTGTGTTTCATGTTAACATGTTGCGACAACTCCACCTTCCACTAAATTCGACTATTTTTAAACATGAGAGAAACCATTTGAAACCTTTCAACCTCTTTAATATAGCCAATAACAACATCAGCTCAACTTTTAAACTATAGAGAAAACTTAATTGATGTTTGGAATTGATTTCTGTGATGTACAAATGAAATCCAGTTAGTATCTCAAGTTTTTTACGAATACCTCCATGGTTGATTCCTAAGTCTCTCTTCGTTATCAACTTCAACTAGAATATCATAATTAAAGTTTAATTATGATATTCTAGTCCCAGCTTGCCTCCTTTTAAATCAAACTTTCGCAGTTCAAGAAACATGTTCGACAATTTTCGTAGTTTAGTTGCTAGAGTTGCTAAGATCATGGACAGTTGGCTTAAAGACACCTACATTATATGCAGTTACAGCAGAGGTTACCGAATTAAATAACAGAAAAAATCTCAAAAATACACCGTGTATTTCCAGCCAGAGGACAATCGTGAAACAACAATAGACAAAAGAGAAAAAGTAGAAAAAAATTAATACGAGTTGAAAATGACTTTTCTTTTTAATTTTCTACGCTTATCAGAGGAGGTTGAAATGCTAGGGAAAACAGTGGAGCAGGCAGTCATACCTTGCAACTTCAAAAGATATAAGAGAACGCATACGATTCTGGAGTATTGGTTTACTGACTCACTGTTCTTACGCGTATACCCTTCAATCGACCGGTGATGTCCTAACTCAAATTAGTTTATGGTCGTTTCTTTCGATTTTGGCTCATTTTCGCAAACCAAAATTATTAGTGACGCTCAATAGAATGTAATTTTAGCTGATGCTGACATCATACACTACATCTGAAGAAGAAAACACTCCCTATCTTCGAAAATTTTATCAAAACATTAGGAACAATAACGAAGGTCCTCTTGAATGAACCTTTGACTAGCATGCGTGTTGATTGCTTTGTAAGTTGTGAGAACATTGTCCCTCGGTTCCAGACTCCGCCATTTCTGCCCCACCACCCCCAAAATGGTCCCTAAGTCCCCTTGAAGAAACTCTTCGACAGCCACTGCTGAAGAGTTTTATTCAGGTTTTTACTATAGTGAAGGGCTAGAAAATAAACTAGCATGAGCTCCGCTTTTAGGCTTGGCTAAATCAATATATTTGCGGTTGTAAATGGGTAATCTGAAGCGATTGTAGTAACCATTTCATTCTTCTGTAATATTACTCTTGCAAAAGAACAACTTCCAATAAAATCCATTTTCATAATCATATCTATTTTTCGCGTGTTTTTCAGAAGGCTTATGCGTTGAGAATTCTACAGTTAATAAACTTACACAATACATCCCCGCGACACGTGCTTATGGAACCATTGCCGATTCCATCCCATGCATGGCGTTGATGTCCTCACTTGGTTGCCTTTAACTTCTAAAAAATTAAGTCGCTCATCGCTGCTAATGACATCTCATGGATCTTCCCATATCCATGCATGTGACGTTTGGAGGAGGATTACCAATAGCGTTACACTGAAGATGTACGCTACTTCCTCCAGTAACTGGACTCGGGCACTGCAATGCTTGAACTTGAATTTCGTCTGAAATAAATCAAACTGATGTTCATAATGTTCGCTTTGTAAAATGTATTCTATATACAAGGCTAAAAGGTTAAAAAATTAAAATGTTTAAAACAAACGTTTTCGGCTCTTTGCCATCATCAGGGTTAAAAAGATGACCGTCCACACGTACATATATATCTTATGTAATTCCCGATGGGAAAAGTTTGGAGACATAAGAAATAACTTGTTTGTTCAAACTGGGGCGGAATTGTTGGATCATTAGTCCCTCGACGATCCTGCGCTTGTGGAATGTTTGTGCTGAGGAGAGAACACGCCAAGTGAAAGAATGTGATGGGTTTTCCCGCAGGTGTTTTGCAGGTTCAGAGGTGTGAGCAGGATTTGAATGCTTCGCAATTCTTACTGCCAAGTTTCTCACAGTCTCGCCAATGTAATCAACGCCACAAGAGCAATCACCTTTGTAAACAACTTTGGATCTGTGAGTGTTTTTGTCTTTGCTGTTAAAGAGGCTTTTGATTTGCCTTGTTTGCCACAGGATTATAAAGATGAAATTAAAATTAGTAAACTTGTTTAGTTTGATGGATGCGGCATGGGCAACCCACTATCTCCAGTCCTTGCAAACATTTTCATGGCTAAATTAGAAGCTGACGTAGTCCGACCTTTCAACCCACCATTCTATGACCGGTATGTTGATGATTGTTTCTCTAAGAAGAAAAAGGACGAGCCTGATGCTCTATTTGAACGGTTAAATCGCTACCATCCTAACATTGTTTTCACCGTCGAGGAAAACCCCGACCACTTCCTTGATACTGCCTTTAGTTATACCAACAAGTTCAATTGCAGCGTCTTCAAGAAACCGGGGAAACTACCAACACATTGGAAATCTGAGGTCCCTACCAAGTGGAAAAGGAATTGCATCAATGGCGCACTCCATAGAGCCAAACGCATCTCTACCGATTTTGACAAGGACATAAAAACTCTAGAAACTTCTTTCATTAATGCAGGTTATCCGAAACGTTTTATTCTGCATACAAACAACAACTTTCTAAACGACTCGTCACAAGATGACAACTTAATTCCGAATTTTCTCTTCGAAGAACGAAAGATAGTTTTCATCAAGCTTCCTTTTTGCGGTAAAAACGAAAAATTCAGCCTAAAGCAGAAAAATCTTGCCATGGTTATTTCTTATTTTTTATACTTGAAAAAATTACTAGCCTCTTCGCAGGCGGCCCAAGCTCCAGCTGTGAGATGATCATCTTGCGCAATAACAGTCATGGAGGAATTATAAGAGTTTGTATGGGAATATTTACGACCGCTCTTCCCCGCACAACCGACGCTAAGCCGCAGTTTGCTTCAAAAAATTCCGGTTTAGAGGTTTCTAACAGCCCGCGTCCACATCAACCTTGACACACGACCGTCGAAAACCAGCTAGGTAACCTTGCCTGAGCTAGCTAACTGAGCTGAGCTGAGCTAGCTAACTGAGCCTCGCCGGGGACCCCACTGTAACTGTATGAAGAAATTGTCTTAGCACCACGGGTGCCAAGTTACAGTGGGGTCTCCGGCGAGGCTCAGTTTAAAATGAGGCAAGATTGAGTTTGTAGTGAATTGAAATGAAACTACAGTATATGTGATTGAATTCTGCGTTGGATTTGTGGCCGCCCGGTCATTTTGCGCTGGAATTTTTCGCTTCTCAGATCGGGCGTTCGGAAATCGAGTGTTCAGCCTTGGGCTTTTCTTATGTGCGTTGAAACCTCGAAATGGACAACTCACTAAAATGCGTTCTTTTTATCAAAGTAAGCGGTCAGATAATAAGCAATATGCTGTGCAAGTAAGGTGAGGTATTTTTTTTGAGAATTTGACGTATTTTTTTATTCCTTAGAGCGGTCGTAAATATTTCCATACAAACTCATAATTCCGCCATGACTGTTATTGCGCAAGATGATCATCTCACAGCTGGAGCTTGGGCCGCCTGTGGCCTCTTCTGCTTTTCTAATCATTCTCATACTTGGTAAATACTTACACAAATGGTAATATTTTCAAATGTGAATATTTATTTACATTTGCATAATGGCAAATCACATCCTTCTTTATGCGACAATCGAACTAAAGACGTACCATCTTGTTTCATGTATCGTGGTAGCTCATTATCCTTTGTCAGTAAGGAGGGCTTAACGTCAGTCCGGTCTACAAACAAAACTTAGAAAGAAAGACGAGAAAAAAACATTTTAAATGGCAAATCCAACGATGTGAATAAGACATGAAGTTCGATCCGATTAATCTATATGTGAAATAGTAGTTGATGCAAACGAGACAATGCTTGAAGCACACCGGTTCTCTACAATGAGCGATAAATGGCGTGCATGGTGCTGCTAATTTAAGGGCTCTATATGGCGTAGCTTTCACTTATATATCATTAATTGTATTCATTAAATGATAGAAAAAAATACTACTTATATGACCATACCAAACGTTGGTGGACATTTCAGCCTTAAAGTGCTCCAAAACGGTACGCCTATCACTCAAATTCATCGAAAACGCACCTAGGTATCTGCTACAACATCAGATAAGCCAGTGCTGAAAAACAAAAGAGTAAACCTGAAAGAGAAAACTCCAAGCTCGTGTAGAGCAGCCAATGGTCCCCTTATTTTCGACAATCAATCACACACAGGAAAGACGTTATTTGCATTAGGTTGAACCATTACCAGCACTTGCTACTTTAAGTGCCAATGGTAAAGCAAGCACACCTGAGATGCCTAAATAAGGTAAAACGTATACCTTAAGTAAACAAAAAGGCTGAGGTAACTATGGAGTCGTAATTTATCTTTATTGTGTTGTTCTTGTTGCACACAATAAAGATATAATTTGACTGATGATGATAAAGAAAAAACCACTTCATGGGTATTTCTTTATATCTTTATCCCTTGTCGGGCTCATTTGTTGGGCCTGTTAGTATTGCTAATTACCTATTCATTGCATTAGCAAATACTTATTACAAATTATAGAAATAGAAGTAAAAACAGAGCATTCCAATATCTGAATGCTCCATTTTAACTACCTCTTCCCAAAAATATATCTCTAATGAAAGCATATATTTTCTCCCTCATCCAAACTGAGTACATTACACTGAAGAACAACTTTCACTCGCGGCAACGATTCATAGAACCACAAAATCCAACATCACCTGCTGTTCTGAAGGCTCCTGACGGTAAACTGGCGTCACCTCTAACACCTCTGTAGTTAGCATAGACTCTAAAATGATACCCAGAGTCCTCTTCGAGGCCAACAACCTCAACAACTGTGCCCGTCACTGTGCAATGATTCTGCCAAATAGTCTGTTTACATGTTGCGTTCATCCACGCTGTTTCTTCTTCAGGTCTTATATTTACGGTATATGTAGCATAATGAAGATTAATTGGCGACCACCTTATAGTTATCGTGTCAACGGTGTTGTTTACAAATTCTGGAAAACCAGGAGAATCTACAAAAAGATATAAAGGGAATTAAAAAAAAATATATATATATATCTGTCTATATATATCTATCTATATATACATACATACATACATACATACATACATACATACATACGTACGTACCTACGTACGTACATACATACATACATACATACATACATACATACATACTGAAACTGCAATAAACCTGCAAGACTCCTGGCCTTGAATTATAACACCACAAACCAAATAAAAAGAAAAAGATTTATTGGAGTCGACGTGCTTGGTAAGAGTGTGGGTTGAAACTAAAACGGTAAAAAAAAAAAGCAAAAAAGTTACAAGGTAAATTAGAGTAAAGAAATAACAAAATTGCAAAACGAGGACTGTGAAGTACACTTACATTGTTTTGGCCAGAGAAAACTTCTGAAAAGAGGACTGCGAAAAACGCGAAGAGGCTAGAAACAAACTGAACAGAACTGCGCTAAGCGCGGACCAAACTGCACTCACAAACTGTACTGACAAATTACGATATGAAAATACGCTAGAACATGCAGAAAATAAAACTATAGAAAGGCGCTAATGAGGATGAAACAGCACGGAAACGCTAACGAGGGCACGAAAACTAACAGAAAGAGATAAACACCTAAATTAACACCAAAAAAAAAAGACTAAACAAATGGACGAAAAAATGTTACACTTGGATCTTACACATACATACATACATATGATCAATGAACTTATAGGTAAAACTACCCTGGAACCAAAATCCTGTAAACCTCAACATATATTATTTATTTACCACAGATCTAAAGAACCGCGAGACTACGGTAGCAGTCCTTCGGAAAATTACTTAATCATTCACCAGCTACAGGATAACAGAACCGCTGGAACAATCATTTCAGTGGAAAGGCGGGAACATTCATTCCTTCATACTCCATTTCTTTTAGTCTCAATGATCGGTTTGCAGGACTTCGGGAAAAATCTTTCCGTTAGAGGTTATACCAATTTAGTTTAAAAAAACTCTCAAGCTGGGGCTGCGGAACTGCACAATCTACGGATCCCTGAATTTTCACACTCACTGTTAAAGCGCGGTGAACACTAAGATTAATGCTCCGTAAACTGGCCGAGTATTCCGAAAAAAAAAAGATCTCAGTTGATCCACCTATCCTTTATTTTCTTTGAAAATAATTTTTCGGCAATCTAATCTACGAAGTAAATTTTTAGATTTTCCACCGAACGAAAGCACATGCTTGCTACTTTTTTGAATAGACAAAATATGATCCCAGAAAGGACATCTACTTAAAGTTTTGCAGGATTTCCACCAGGATATTCAGTAGCACTCTAGACGTGCTTTTCTGCCTAACTCAAGTAAATCGATTTTATTCTGATTAATTCAAAGTTTATAGTGTCATTCACAGATATAGCACTTCTCAGTCAAATGTTATGCTAACACTTGAAAGGTCCTCCTCAGTTATCCGTTCTGCAGTTAGTCGGTTCTACTGATTCAAACTGATTTAGATGACAATTTTAGACCATAGAATCCAGTGATAAAAGTCAGTTTAGACAATATCTATTTACCGAGAACAGTTACTTTGACTGTTGCATTGTCTCCTGAGCCCACTTCATTTACAGGGATACATATGTATATTCCAGCTTTCCTCACAGTAACACTAAACATTCCAGAGCTGCTGGTGGCGACGTGGGTACTATCGAATATCAACTGAAACACATGAACCGCAGGGTTAGCCTCTGAGGTGCATTTAAGGAACAAACTACCTCCAGCTAAAACGACAGTATCATTCCCGTCAGATGTCATTCGTGTACCAGTCGGCAAGTCTGCAAGATAAACATAGTTCGTTATTCTCGCGGTCAGCCTCAGGGCCTGATTGGGGGAACGATTGTATGTTATATCACTCCCACAAAAGAAACAACTTCTTACAAAAGGTCATAAAAACTCTATTGTCATCATTGTATTATTTTACTTTTCGCATTTTTACTCAGCTGACACATGTTGTGCAAACTGTACAGTTAATTGACTTACAAAATACATCCATATAAATATATCCCAAACCCAAAATATCACATTTAAAACACGTTTGAGGATATTTGATATATATGGAATGTGATTTTGCCTAATACTCAGCATCCAAAGAGGTTCGGTGATCGTCGTCTATAACAAGTCATTAGTAAAGGAGTATATACGCCATTCGTTGTTATTTTCCTTCAAAAAAAGGATCTTTGCTATTAAAAACGTCCTGTGGTTCAGCTGCACTACAACAGGGAAAAAAGCCACGATTTTGCAAACTGCTAAAGGCTTTCTTTCCCCTTTCTTTAGGAGAGCAGAGGTTTAGAAGACCGATATTCCATTTGAGTGCGAGAAGTTCGAAGAAAGTTGGGTATCGGCTGTAAGTCGTCGTAAATGGGCGTGGGTTTTTACAGTCTTCGATCGGTGGCGAGGTAAAAGAAACGATGCAGTACTAGAAGAGAATTATAGTAGCGAGCCGTTAATAAAGGAGTTTCTAAATGAAATGTCTGAGGAGCAGCTGGATTTTGTCTTGGCATGATTATTTCCGAAGTCAAAAGAGAAGACGGGTAAGAGTATCCAAGGAAGACTTTATTTGAAATGATAGGTAGCATTCAAACATTTTTATATGTGCAATGTAAGCGAAATGCAATTTTGTTTAACAAGACAGGTTTTAGATTTAGAAGTTTAAATTCTGCATTGAATTTTCAGTGAAACAGAAAGCTACCCAAGGAGTGGGTGGGATTGTAAATCAGGCCAAATTTACAACTAAAGAACAGGAAAACTTTTCGTGGGAAAATGTTTTTTTAGGTAGCACTCTGTAGCACAATGTAGAGGACACTCAAGCGATCTGGTAAGGAGTTGGCATACCATCAACTCTAACTTTTGAGTTAATTGACTTACAAAATACATCCAAGTAACATGTACTGATCGAGCTATTGCCAATTCCATTCCATGCATGGCACTGATAAATCCCCGTATGGCTGCGATGTACATCCACCAGAACAAGACGATCATCGCTACCAGAGACAATTCCTGTATCTTGCCGTATCCATGTGATGTTTGGAGAGGGGTTACCAGTAGCATTACACTGAAGATTTACGCTACTGCCTTCAGTTACTGAGCTTGGACAATGTAAGGCTTGAACTTGAGCTTCGACTGCAAAAAAGAAAAAAAGATTGAATTGACTTAAAAAATCTTGAATATCTGTCAAGTAGAACAAATTTCCTTTCCTAGTTGGTGCTTGTACACCAGCATCGTGATCAAGAGTGATATTGAGTCAAAAAACTCGGCCCAAACCCAAAATATCACATTTAAAACACGTTTGAGGATATTTGATATATAGGGAATATGATTTTGCCTAATACTCAGCATCTAAAGAGGTTCGGTGATCATCATCAAAAACAAGTCATTAATAAAGGAGTATATAGGCCATTCGTTGTTATTTTCCTTCGAAAAGGGAACTTTGCTATTAACGACGTCCTGTGGTTCAGCTGCACTATAACAGGGAAAAAAGCCACGATTTTGCAAACTGCTACAGGCTTTCTTTCCCCTTTCTTTAGGAGAGCAGAGGTTTAGAAGACCGATATCCCATTTGAGTGCGAGAACTTCGAAGAAAGTTGGGTATCGGCTGTAAGTCGTCGTAAATGGGCGTGGGTTTTTACAGTCTTCGATCGGTGGCGAAGTAAAAGAAACGATGCAGTACTAGAAGAGAATTATAGCAGCGAGCTGTTAATAAAGGAGTTTCTAAATGAAATGTCTGAGGAGCAGCTGGATTTTGTCTTGGCATGATTATTTCCGAAGTCAAAAGAGAAGACGGGTAAGAGTATCCAGGGAAGACTTTATTTGAAATGATAGGTAGCATTCAAATATTTTTACGTGTGCAATGTAAGTGAAATGCAATTTTGTTTGACAAGACAGGTTTTAGATTTAGAAGTTTAAATTCTGCATTGAATTTTCAGTGAAACAGAAAGCTACCCAAGGAGTGGGTGGGATTGTAAATCAGGCCAAATTTACAACTAAAGAACAGGAAAACTTTTCGTGGGAAAATGTTTTTTTAGGTAGCACTCTATGGCACAATGTAGAGGACACTCAAGCGATCTGGTAAGGAGTTGGCATACCATCAACTCTAACTTTTGAGTTAATTGACTTACAAAATACATCCAAGTAACATGTACTGATCGAGCTATTGCCAATTCCATTCCATGCATGGCACTGATAAATCCCCGTATGGCTGCGATGTACATCCACCAGAACAAGACGATCATCGCTACCAAAGACAATTCCTGTATCTTGCCGTATCCATGTGATGTTTGGAGAGGGGTTACCAGTAGCATTACACTGAAGATTTACGCTACTGCCTTCAGTTACTGAGCTTGGACAATGTAAGGCTTGAACGTGAGCTTCGACTGCAAAAGGAAAAAAAAGATTGAGTTGACTTAAAAAATCTTGAATATCTGTCAAGTAGAACAAATTTCCTTTCCTAGTTGGTGCTTGTACACCAGCATCATGATCAAGAGTGATATTGAGTCAAGAAACTCGGCCCAAACCCAAAATATCACATTTAAAACACGTTTGAGGATATTTGATATATAGGGAATGTGATTTTGCCTAATACTCAGCATCCAAAGAGGTTCGGTGATCATCATCAAAAACAAGTCATTAATAAAGGAGTATATAGGCCATTCGTTGTTATTTTCCTTCGAAAAGGGATCTTTGCTATTAACGACGTCCTGTGGTTCAGCTGCACTATAACAGGGAAAAAAGCCATAATTTTGAAACTGCTACAGGCTTTCTTTTCCCTTTCTTTAGGAGAGCAGAGGTTTAGAAGACCGATATCCCATTTGAGTGCGAGAAGTTCGAAGAAAGTTGGGTATCGGCTGTAAGTCGTCGTAAATGGGCGTGGGTTTTTAAAGTCTTCGATCGGTGGCGAGGTAAAAGAAACGATGCAGTACTAAAAGAGAATTATAGTGGCGAGCCGTTAATAAAGGAGTTTCTAAATGAAATGTCTGAGGAGCAGCTGGATTTTGTCTTGGCATGATTATTTCCGAAGTCAAAAGAGAAGACGGGTAAGAGTATCCAAGAAAGACTTTATTTGAAATGATAGGTAGCATTCAAACATTTTTACGTGTGCAATGTAAGCGAAATGCAATTTTGTTTGACAAGACAGGTTTTAGATTTAGAAGTTTAAATTCTGCATTGAATTTTCAGTGAAACAGAAAGCTACCCAAGGAGTGGGTGGGATTGTAAATCAGGCCAAATTTACAACTAAAGAACAGGAAAACTTTTCGTGGGAAAATGTTTTTTTAGGTAGCACTCTATGGCACAATGTAGAGGACACTCAAGCGATCTGGTAAGGAGTTGGCATACCATCAACTCTAACTTTTGAGTTAATTGACTTACAAAATACATCCAAGTAACATGTACTGATCGAGCTATTGCCAATTCCATTCCATGCATGGCACTGATAAATCCCCGTATGGCTGCGATGTACATCCACCAGAACAAGACGATCATCGCTACCAGAGACAATTCCTGTATCTTGCCGTATCCATGTGATGTTTGGAGAGGGGTTACCAGTAGCATTACACTGAAGATTTACGCTACTGCCTTCAGTTACTGAGCTTGGACAATGTAAGGCTTGAACTTGAGCTTCGACTGCAAAAAGAAAAAAAAGATTGAGTTGACTTGAAAAATCTTGAATATCTGTCAAGTAGAACAAATTTCCTTTCCTAGTTGGTGCTTGTACACCAGCATCGTGATCAAGAGTGATATTGAGTCAAAAAACTCGGCCCAAACCCAAAATATCGCATTTAAAACATGTTTGAGGATGTTTGATATATAGGGAATGTGATTTTGCCTAATACTCAGCATCCAAAGAGGTTCGGTGATCATCATCAAAAACAAGTCATTAATAAAGGAGTATATAGGCCATTCGTTGTTATTTTCCTTCGAAAAGGGATCTTTGCTATTAACGACGTCCTGTGGTTCAGCTGCACTACAACAGGGAAAAAAGCCACAATTTTTCAAACTGCTACAGGCTTTCTTTCCCCTTTCTTTAGGAGAGCAGAGGTTTAGAAGACCGATATCCCATTTGAGTGCGAGAACTTCGAAGAAAGTTGGGTATCGGCTGTAAGTCGTCGTAAATGGGCGTGGGTTTTTACAGTCTTCGATCGGTGGCGAAGTAAAAGAAACGATGCAGTACTAGAAGAGAATTATAGCAGCGAGCTGTTAATAAAGGAGTTTCTAAATGAAATGTCTGAGGAGCAGCTGGATTTTGTCTTGGCATGATTATTTCCGAAGTCAAAAGAGAAGACGGGTAAGAGTATCCAGGGAAGACTTTATTTGAAATGATAGGTAGCATTCAAATATTTTTACGTGTGCAATGTAAGTGAAATGCAATTTTGTTTGACAAGACAGGTTTTAGATTTAGAAGTTTAAATTCTGCATTGAATTTTCAGTGAAACAGAAAGCTACCCAAGGAGTGGGTGGGATTGTAAATCAGGCCAAATTTACAACTAAAGAACAGGAAAACTTTTCGTGGAGGTACCGATGCGAGGTAAAAGAAACGATGCAGTACTGAAAGAGAATTATAGTGGCGAGCCGTTAATAAAGGAGTTTCTAAATGAAATGTCTGAGGAGCAGCTGGATTTTGTCTTGGTATGATTATTTCCGAAGTCAAAAGAGAAGACGGGTAAGAGTATCCAAGGAAGACTTTATTTGAAATGATAGGTAGCATTCAAACATTTTTATGTGTACAATGTAAGCGAAATGAAACTTTGATTGACAAGACGGGTTTTAGATTTAGAAGTTTAAATTCTGCATTGAATTTTCAGTGAAACAGAAAGCTGCCCAAGCAGTAGGTGGGATTGTAAATCAGGCCAAATTTACAACTGAAGCACAGGAAAACTTTTCGTGGAAAATATTTTTTTTAGGTAACGAGAACGGGGTGTGAATTCCTGCAGTATGTGGAAGATTTTAGTAAAATCAACAATGGGGGTTTGTACCATTTGCGTGTCAAAAGGAAAGTTGTTCGTGGATACAAAAATTTAACTAATGCAGAACGTTGCCCAGTCGAGCTGCACAAGTAGAATTTGTCTCGCGTGCCTAAAGAAATTAGTGATGACGCATTTCATTTGCGTGCTTTTGCCAAATCAAGGGGAAAAGTGTGGTATCATAATAAACCAATGGGAAGTGAAACGTTAGGATATGAACCAAAGAAAAGCATGACAAAGCCAGGATTTGAGGGGCATCTCACAAACCATTCTCTCAGGTGAAGCTCCGCCACGCGGTTGTACTAAAGCGGTGTAACAGAACAAGTTATTGTAGAAACCACTGGTCAACGGTCATTTGATGGGGTAAGAGAGTATAAATGTACATCGTCAACACTTAAACGAAAAGCAAGGTAAATCTTGCAGGGAAGGTTCCCACGGAAAGTTGAAAGGGATGTCGAGGGAAAAGAGAGAGAGGAGTTTGAAAATCATGTTAAACACAATGAAGAAAAAGAAATGGGATTAAACGCAAAAGTTTTTGAGTAAACGATCAATGAAGATAACTATAATCAGTCAGTTCAAATTAGAACCAATACAACTAAAATTGTTATTTCATATACGTAAGAAAATTTGCTACCGCAAGATGTGCAATTATAATAAATAAAGCAATAAAACGATAAAATCGAAAACGTTGGCGACTGCAATATTAAAAATATTGCTGCATGCAGGGTGCACTATTATTAATATCGCAGCGCAGTTAGCTTACTGTAATATCGAGTTTTTTAGCTCGTTTAGAATTACCCCTGATAATTTCCTTACCAACAAAAAGGAACGACCCTATTTTCCTTTCCTTTGAAACTTGAACCGTACTGAAAACCTAATTACCTTCTTAGACTGACATCACTAATATAATGCAGAGGGAGCACCATAGCATTTTACGGGGGTCAGTAAGTATTTATAGCAGTTCTACACGTGACCACAGTTTTTGTCCAGTGTAATGAAACATGACAAATTTTGACTTAAAATATTTGTTACTCACAAAACACGTCCAGGCTGCATTTTCTGGTGGAACTATTACCAATTCCATTCCTCGCCAGACATTGATAATTGCCTGTTTGGCTTCGATTGACAGCTGAAAAAGTGAGCTCCTCATTGCTACCAAGAACATCTCCTGTGTCTTCCCATATCCAAGTAATGTTCGGAGAAGGATTACCAGTGACATTACAGTAAAGAGTTAAGTTACTTCCCTCCACTTTTGAACTTGGGCATTGCATGTTTAGAATCTGGGTTTCGACTAAGGAGAAAAGAGAACAATAAGTCAAAAATTAAATTTAGCAAATTTTCGTAATAGATCTAGAATAACGGCTTCGTGCTCAATACTTATCGGCTTGCTAAAACAAAGAGTTAAGTATGTATTGGGAAATTACTAGAGAAAATAGTTTAGCGTATAATATTTTCCCCTCTTCTCTAGAAAAGCGATTGAAGTAACTCTCGTTGTGTACAAGAGATCTTTTTACAGATAAGGGTGCCTATAAACGAACCAGTGAGGACACGTGGATCGAAAATTGGGATTTAGCCTTGAAAAATTTTTTACCAAACCCACAGAGAGATGGTATGGTCAGCGTTGCAGGTGGGATCTTTTGACGGATTTAAACACGATTTCTTGTTGTTTTTCCAAGAGGACTTGATGACGAATCGTGGCTGGATCGCTTATTGTGTGTCCTTTTTGCAGCTTCTTCAGCTGTTGTATCAGTTAGTCCTCCCCTTTGGATCCTACCAAAAACGCCGACAAGAAGATATACGCTTTCCCCCTCCCACACTCTACAGCACAATGTAGAGGACACTCAAGCGATCTGGTAAGGTGTTGGCATACCATCAACTCTAACTTTTGAGTTAATTGACTTACAAAATACATCCAAGTAACATGTACTGATCGAGCTATTGCCAATTCCATTCCATACATGGCACTGATAAATCCCCGTATGGCTGCGATGTATATCCGCCAGAACAAGAAGATCATTGCTGCCAAGAACAATTCTTGTATCTTGCCATATCCATGTGATGTTTGGAGAAGGGTTACCAGTAGCATTACACTGAAGATTTACGGTACTGCCCTCAATTACTGAGCTTGGACAATGTAAGGCTTGAACTTGAGCTTCGACTGAAAAAAAAAAGTTACCTTAAAAACTTTTGAATATCTGTCAAAATAGGATAAAATTCCTTTTCTGCGTTATAGTGAGGTAGAAACTCGGTCCAACCACTAAGTATCACATTTAAAACACGTTTGAGGATATTTTACATTTAGGGAATGTGATGCCGCCTTATACTCAGCATTGAAAGTGGTTTGGTGATCATCGTCAAAATCAAGTCATTCAAAAAAGAGCATACACGTCATCCGCTGTTATTTTCCTTCGAAAACGGATCTCTGCTATTAACGACGTTCTGTTGTACAGCTGCACTAGAACAGAAAAACTTAATTGTTTTCACCTCACCCCACGAGGCATATTGGTGTTCATCAAGGGGTACAATTATCATTGACAAGATGGTTGACCATTTTCGGTCAACACTTCAAAAACAAAAACAGGGAGATAGAGGCTTTTGTCTTAAAATTATCTGATCAAAGACTCAGCTCGTAATAAAAAGAAAATCCGCCGAAATGCAAATACTTGTATGCTAACATACGTTGAGCAATGCTTACTTGAACTCACACAAAATGAAATTGAGAAAATCGTACCCAGAGTGTAGCGAAATAAGAATTTGAAAAGGCAGTAATTGAAGGAAAAACGTTACTTTCAGACTTTTCCCGACAGTTTCGTTGAGCCAGGAAAAGGGATGGACTTTTTGCTTTCAATATAGATCTAAGCTGCATGTCCTGGTGGAATTACTTCCGATTCCATTCTATGCACGACACAGATAAGCCCCTGTTTGACTTCGATCAACATCAGTAAGAGTTAGCTTTTCATATCTACAAAGAAATACTTTAGTTTGGAATAGTTTCCTCCCCTCTCCAGGATAGCAGTGTAAGTAACTCTTGATTTTTGAAAGGCTCCTATGACTGGTAAGTGTGCTTATCATTGAACCAATGTGGGCACGTGGTACGAAAGGAAAATTCAGTATTAAAAAAGATTTGTTTTATCCAAGAAATATGTTCAGCTAAGCTGATAGATGGAAACAGGACATTTTTTTTAAAAGGGCTCGATAACGAATCATGGCTGAATAGCCTTCTGCTTCTCCTTTCGGCAATTCTTGCATATGGTATTTAATTATATCAGTAAATCCTCTTCTTTAGGCCCTACCAGCAACGCCAAGATGAAGATGGGCAGCTCAAGGTCTCCGTGTTCCTCCGCCCACTCTCTGTAACACACGGAAGATGACTTTCTAGCGATGTGGTAAGATGTAGGTAAGGAGGTAAGGTGTCCCACCGCAGCTTCCCTGCTCCGCTGGCTGTGTGGGACTAATCTCATAGAGCTCACTTGATGAGAAAGCTGCAATTCTCCATCATCACGCTCGAGAACAAGAAAGAGGAAGACCCTAGCTCCTCGCGTTGTAGGCTGGAGTTTGCGAACCATGTGTCCCGGATCAAAATCAACATCTGAAATCAACAACCCTAAGCCAAGTCATGTGATGTCATCAGAGACCAGAGTGATCAGCTTTAAGGCTTGGTGGAACACCTCCTGGGAACCGTGTGTGATTGATGCAGCACAGTCTACATGTTTAGGTAAAGCTAGATCATTTGCCTCCAATAGAAGAGCTCAGCAAGATCACAGATAATCTCAAATTCAGAAAGGCCCCTGGAAAATGTACGGCATTTACCCTGAGGTTCCTCAATGGGAAACTGGCCTTACTCCAACACCTCAATGAGTTGGGAAGAAAGATACGTTTCATATGACATTCACGACACTAGCATTGTCACTTTTTACAAAGAATTAGGACTTTCACTGCAATTGCAACAACTACGGTAGTTCCGTTTTCGATCATCCTCAGTAAAGCCATCACCCGAGTCATGTTGGTACGCACACAAAACCGTTTTTATTTTTTTTAATTTAACAAGGTTGAACTGTGGTTGCTAGGCGGCAGATCTAGAGAGGAAAGATCTTTTCGTCACGTTTGCCGTAGGACAAGTGTATGAAAAAATAGGAAACTGTTGTACAGTGCTTTTGATCTAGTAAGCTTGAAAGGAATCTTTGGTTACCTGGAGAAGTTCTGCTTTCTCTTAAGGCTGCCAGCGTCATCACCTCATTCCATGAAGATAGGCCAAACAAGGCTCATCCTCAGTGTAGCTGGGGTCAACACCATCTTCTTGAACGGAGAATCAGACACCACGGTCGAATAAGCTGCTGCACGTATGGCCAGACTGAACAAGAGCGTCTGGAAAACAGTTTTCTTTAAAGATGTCTGCAAACAGGACATGAAGCTGGAACGCGTTTACCTCAACACCTGTCACGAACCATGGAGGGGCTCTCTAAAAAGACGTCTTCAGAAGGCTGAGACACTTGTACAAGGTACTGCCTGTACTGATGGACTATAGCCATTCTAGGAAGTGTTCTAGCCATTGAACTGAACGTACTTGTTTGTTACCTGTGTTATGCGATGATTTTAAGATCTTTGCATTTGTAGGCTCCGTCACTCAAGTGGAATGTAAAAGCAAGGCACGAAGACGAAGAAACGCAAACACAAAAAAGGCTAAATATGAACACAGACGAAGTTTGAGGCAACAATTTTGTAATTCAAGGTGCATATTTGTATTTTTTTTTAGATTTATCGGAAAGCTCTTCGCGTAGGTATTCAGTGCCATATTCGAGCAAGATGGCCTCCTTACCGAATGCGAGTATTTCTCACCAGGGTGTAAGTGCTTAGTGGGCAAGATGCAGAGGGGACTTTAGTGTCTGGGACTTAGTCCTAACGGCCAATATGGAGGATCTTTTACCAGCGTTTTAACGTGAAAACGATCAGTGTTTTAGCATGCCGCTCAACAAGAGTATTCCTCGCTCTAAAAGCACCGCTCTAAGTGCACAAACACCAAGTGTATTCCTCGTTTTCGTTCCTCCTTCTCGGATCACCCTCGCTGTGAGACATTTTCTAGTTGGATGTGCGTGCTCTTTTTCTGAATTTTCTTATTTGGTTTTGAATACACACGTTCAACTACTCGGTGTTTAAACCTTCCAAGAAAGGTGTTAAGCATTAATGTTTGAAATAAGGCAAACAGTGGCGTTTAGAAAAAGATGATGTCATTGAATACACGCCTTCAATCTCCCGGTGTTTTGATCTAAATAAATTGGGTGTTATGCGTTGAGGCGTGAAATTTGGGAAATACAGGCAATTAAAAAAGGTTCGTCAAGTGGTAAGAATTCATGCACAGGAATTCTGCTGAATCAAATTTGAATCTCGATAGAACATTCACGTTATCCCAAACTGATTCACATCATTTTTTCGCTGGAGGGGCCTTCGACCCATCAAACGCCATCAAATGCCGTAACCTCGTTGTTTATCTTTCGCGCTTTGATTGCACGACATTGAGTTTCACTCGCGAACAAGGAGGGTGTCGAAGGAGCAGATAAGTCATTCGGCGTATCTGTGTCGCTAAGCTGACTTCAAGCCACGATACTCTTGTGGTCTTTTAGATTTCTTTCCCATTTAAAGATATGTACACTGACAAAGAGATGAAGCAGCCTCCAACTGAAGTTTTGCTTGTTATCCTCTCTATGATATGGTTTTGCATTGGCCATACGTCCATCGAGGTTCACCCGTTTTGGAGGGATGCCTATTAACCGACCGGTAAGGGTCGTATCGTATGACTCGTGAATACATTAGAGGATCCGTAAGGATCGTACAAATAGATCCATCATCATTACCAGACAGACAAAACCCTAGTAGCGCTAAGGATATCCACGGGTCGACAGCACGATCCGTGAATGTATCAGACGGCAGCACGACTTTTATACTCGTGAATACATTAGACGACTCATACGGGTCGTACAACTCATGGATACATTACACAATCCGCACGTTTGACCATTGCTTTATTCCTTACCGTCGTACAATGGTTGACGTTTTGAGACTTGAAATATATATGGAATGCGAGGACGCTTCCAGTGGACCAAATGCCTTCTTCATTATGTATACATGAGTTGTTTGAGGACACTCATTTAGGATAATTTAGCCACCCACTCACTCAACAAACCACCTACCAGCTAACTAACCAAACATGCAACTTTAAAAATTAAAAAAAAAAATGTGAATTGTAATCGACTGAAGAAAAGTGAATCTAAAAGCATAAGAATATTTTGAGAAGTGTTAATTTGTAGACTTGAGACGAAGCTTTCCAGATCTTTAAAATTGTATAGTGCCCTAAAAGTTATTTTCTTTTAATTTCAATGTTGATGTGTTTTATACTTTGGTTTGTGTATCTTGAAAGAACGAAAAAATTTACAATGCGGAGATTTTTTAACAGTCACCCATTCAAGTACGAGCTTGCAATTGGTTTCATTGACTGCATTTTAGGCTTTGGTAAGACTTAATATTATTGAAGTCATACCATGGCTAATGCATGATTCTGGACACTATCTAAAATCGTAACATTGATACCCTTTCTCAAATATATTGAATCGCTGTCTTTAAAGAAAATGTTCTCTCGTCAATTTGAATATTTCATTATTAACTAATTGTATCTTGATTTTGCCTTGTCTTTGGGAAATTGTACACTAGACAAACTGATAATAATTGCCGCCAGCCCTATACAAAAAAGTGTTGCCCAAAACTAACGTGCAACGAGAGATTACCTCCGTGTTACAGCAAAACAGGCAGCAAAAAATCTCAGCACATTTTAATCATATAAAACCTCATAAATTTTACGTGAAAACAATCAAACCATGTATTTTGAATTCTTACCAAAGAAAGTATTTAACAAATATCTCTTACAAGGGGTAAAATAATTAAGATATGAAGTGGGTATCACTAAATTTTACCTTTTGACTGACGACACACCACACCAGCATGATAATACCAACAGTGAGAATAAGCTTCTCCCCATCCTGCATGACTGCATTGTGAAACTGATGTCTCATTTCCTTCACATTGCATCCTGTCCAGCCATACAGGACCTTTTCTTTCTTCAAATTCTACCAATACTAGTGCTGATAAAGCGCCATTGTATCCAAGCTGGCGACAAACTACATCTGCATCCTGTAGGTCCCAACTGTTTGCACAAATTGTTCCCCATGTACCACTATACTGCACTTCAACACGTCCAGAAGATGGTGAATTAGTGGGTTTCACCAAACGAACTGTGGTTAACGTGTAAAACATACGAAAGCAATTTTAAGAGTCTGTCCACGAGAGGACCGGGCAGGCGTGACATGTGCTATCTCACCGATTTCTTTCAAACTTTCACAGTTTATAAGGGTCAGAAGGTTATTCAAGAATTCAAAGTAGGTCAAGCTCCCGACTATTCCTGGGGTGTTAGAGCCCCCACATCAAATCCTTTAGGTAAAAGGCTAAAATTAGCTCGAAAATGCACTTTCAACGAATCTCTCTTACACGAACAGAATGCGATGAATTTTAATCTTATTATATCCAATGGTTGTTTGAACCTTAAGGAAACAATTCTTTAAAGTCGGGGTAATTTGATATAATTTGATAGAAAAAATTAGGTTTTTTAAATTACAGTTATCTCCAATGGGCAACATTGTATGTCGACAAACATACCATCACAAGAAAGACCTATCTTAACACTACATCGGTGGGTAAAAACATATTTGGCCTCTGTAAAACATTCGTGATCACGTCCCTCTGAAATACGTGAATTCTGACGTTTATCTATGCAATTTTTGGTCATAAACTGATGTTTATTAACTCAATTTGAATTTGAGAATGGCATCGCTGATGCTAGTTTTTGTCGTACTTATGTCTAAAAACAAAAGATTTATAGCTGCTGAGCTAAGGAGTAACTCATCATAGAAATTCTGTAACGCTGACACAATCTATTGGAAAAATGATTCATAAATGTATGTATATATCATACATTAAAAATTACCGAATTGAGAAATGGACGTCGGCAGTTGACAGCGATACTTTTAAAATGTAATTTACACAATTGACACACTTAATATACCTGTTATAATTTTACTCAATGCGCCATATTTTTTTTTAAGCGGGAAACTTTGGAGAAGACTCCACCCAATTTTAGGTTCGCTACTGGACAGTTCTTTCTGTTGCATTTAACCTTACTTTAATTAAAACAAACGAACAAAAAACAGAAAGCACAAAAAAAAAACTGAGCTCTGACTAGTGAGGTTGTCTTCTGAGATGTAAAAGATCAATCAAGATTGCGATTTCTGTAGAACAAGGAAGGGAGAGGTTCTGAAAGTTTTTTTTTTTTAGTATAAAGGGTCTTAATCGGTCCAATTTTCATTATCAGTCGCTTTTAACAGCATAAACGCCTCTTTTACTCCCGCCGCAGCCAATGATTCCATAGATTACTCACAAAAAGAGGGTTATCTGACAGGCATATTTGCAATTCTTTTTGTACCGGTAATAAGCCAGTTCTAGTTCCCTCCTTATTTGAAATCTCGTCTCCATCCCTTCTGCATTGTCGACGTATTGATCATGTATTCATCCTCCAAGGGCACTTACAAGTTCATTCAGGAGATCGGCCTTATTAAGGGCTGATAGCCTGCTGAAATATCTCGCGATTTGAACAACTGAAAATCATCCCTCCTCTGTGAAAAATTTGTCTCCACTCGCTTATCTCAGACGCTTCATTTTAGGTGCAACATCAGCAGGATTTGCTTCATTGCCAGTTTTTTCTCCTTGTAAGAATATCTCTTGTAAAAATGACCATACTCGTTGAGAAGATGGAATGTTGGCTGGTGCTGCAGTCGATTCTGTTGTTGCAGGAGATCATAAATTTGTTGATGGAGCACCACCAACGGTTGCACCTAGCACATAATTTTACAAGTTTCTGCCCACTTTGCTTTGTTAAGTAGCGCCCAACATCGAGACGTTACTCAAGACTTTTGAATTCCTGGTAAACTTTTATGCACCTTGTGCGGAGCCATAATTCTCAAGTTTTTCCAGTAATAGAAACTCATTTAACGCTTTAACGCTCTTCCAAGCTCTCAGACTCAGAGGAAAAGTTGTTCAAGGCTTAAATGCCAGCCATGCTGTGCTTCTATATATTTCGAATAAATAGTCGTTTAGGTTGCTTGATGATTACCTCTACGATGGCAGAAGCTTAGAGGTGGTGTTGTTCTTAGGATATATGTCTTTCTTTTCTGAGACAAGAAGTTATATCCATTTCTTTGATAAATGTACGCAAACTTGGTCTGCCGCGGCATCCATTCCGCATGCCTGCTCGAAAGTCCTATTACACTAACCTTACTAAAGCTTTCTGGCGATCTGAAAACGCAGGGTGAGAAAGGGCTCTTTTTTCACTGAGACAGCCTCAAAAATTCATCATGCAATCAACTACGTTATGGCAAGAAATAGCACAGGGTAAAATTCTTCCAAGGATTGCTAGAAATGTTGGCGGGGTTGATGTACCTCCTTTAATAGTTGGTGACTTAGCTTTTCCCTTTCAGACCTGGCTGATGAAACCATATACCAATGCAGTCCTCACTGAAAAACAGAAATACTTTAACTACCGCCTAAGTAGAGCAAGGATGGTGAATGAGGGGGCATACGGTCAGCTCAAGGGGCGATGGTGAGTTCTATTTCGAAGGAATGAATGTAGTCAGAAGAATGTGCGAACTGTAACAATGGCTTGCATTGTACTACACAACATATACATAAATCATGGGGACTCGTTGTCAAGAAAAATGGATTTAACAATTGATCCTGTGACTGGAGGGAGAAGAGACAGGAAAGTCATAAGAAACCTGTTGCAAATGGTTCGAAGTCCACCAGTTCGAGATTCATGTCACCAAGCCACTTTAATTCGTAACCGTCTATCTGATAAGTTTTTGAGAGAGAAAGAAGGGCATGGGGTCTGGTGAATAGTCCTCTCTTTGTCAAATTCACTTTGGGATTAATAGTGAGATACGTAATAATTCGGCTTAAGTTCACTGAACATTTCACTTCAAGATTCTGAATTAAAAATTTCAGGCAAAAGCGTTAAATTCGACCCGCCGAATTATTTTACTTTGTAAACTATCGCAGATTGTGAACTTTGATGGTTTTTGAACTTTGATGGTTTGACACTTTTGACAGCTTTTGTCTTGTACAGCCAATCAGATTATTTGAACCATTCTAACAGGGATTCTGATTGGCTTATTGTAGCGTGCTCCATGAGAGTATAGAGCATGCTGACGACACTGTTGTTCGCTTTGGAAATAAAGTTTGTTTTGAAAATTGAAAGTAATACATGGGAAATTTAACAGATTCTTTATTATAAAACAAATAGAGAAGCCTTGACTGTGCTCTGTTCTGTTATAAAGCACTTAGGAAGTGGCTAGAGCACTCAAGAAGTGGGAAGAAACACTCGACTACGTCTCGTGTTTCTCCCCACACTTCTTTCGTGCTCTAGCCGCTTCCTGCGTGCTTTATAACAGAACAGAGCACAGTCAAGGCTTCTCTATTTGTTAAATAATGTTTCCTTTTGCTACAGAGTCTATTGTCACATACCTCATGAAATTTTCAGTTGGCTATAACAATGGCTGAGTTGCTTGTTAAAAAAGATAATGCTTTGTTTTCTTTACTACTGAATGTATTTGATGTTTGTTATGTTGTTAATGAAAAAATAAAAACCATTAACCATTTTCCCTTTGAAATGAACTGGATGTAAATTGTCTGTTTATTCCTTCATAATGCACCATTTTATCACAAAGAAACGCAACGGTTCAATCATGAGTGTACTTTGAAATTAAAAGTATGAAAGTTCTAACCAAGAGAAGCAGCAAGTTTTAAAAATTCAAAAAGTTATAAACTTGAACTGTGGTACTAGTTAAATGGAGTACAAACATTGATCATCCCTCACATTGATGATCATGGATAAAGTCAGGAAATATACAAGAAATATCAACATTAATGTCCACTCTGTAACATTGTTCTACAACTGGTGATACCTTTTCCCTTCTCTCTCTGAGAACTGGCACTGTCGAGGTTCCTTGTAGAGTAAATCTTCAGCTGTGTATGCAAATGAACTGGGGCTTCTTTCTGGGGAAATCATAGAGGATGAACCTGCACAATAACTAGATCCTGCAAATGGGCTGGGGCTTCTTCCTGGGAAAATCATAGAGGATGAACCTGCAGAATAACTTACGGCGGGCTGTCTTTGTGACATTAAGAGTTCCATTAATCTTAATTCATGCTCACGAGCTCGCTGATTTTCCTCTTTGAAAAAATGCATCAGCTGTGTTGTTTGGTCATTATTAACAACTTTTTCAAAAAGCTCCACAGCAGTGGACAAAGCGCAAGGAGAGTTCTGAGATTTGACTTTCTTTCTTCTACCCTTCCTTATAGGCACAAATTGTATCTTGTCAGAGTCGTCACCTTGGTCAAAACCGTCACTTGATTGCTCATCAGTGGGGGTTCTGTTATCTGATGCTCTTTTCACTGGCTCCCCGTCAGACAACTTCAGTGATGAAGAAGACACTACTGCCATGTCAGGGTTACACGAATCCCTTGTTTGGACCAGTGAAAATAGTTGATTAAACCAGGCTCCCAGCTGCTTTTCATCTTGAACCCTTTTTACGCCCGTCTTAACAGTCAATGCAATTTTTTTGCATTCAGATATGCATTTCTTGAACTTCTTCCTGAGCTGATCTACGCTGAACGGGAAGCTACCATCTTCATATATCTGGCCCAAATCTTTGAGTACATTAGCATATATTTCTGCGTTCTTCGAATTTTTCGTGTTCGTGAAAATCAACTTCTTCTTATAGTACTCGCAACTACATATCACATCTTCTAAATCATTGACATGTCGCTCTTCCCATACGCTTCTCCGTCCCTTTCGCTTCTTTTTCCTCGAGCTGCACACTTCACTCTGTTCACTGACTCCTGTGTCGGATTCGTTTGAATCAGTCTCTTTGTCGTTATCTGGAGAATAGCTGTCGAACGATGCAGGTAAATATCTTTTTAAAAAAGTTCGGGAAACGTCGGGGAATTATTGTCACCGTCGGATTCCTCTTCTCTCAAGCTTTCGGGCAAAACGGGTAGATTTTTGCGCCACGACGCCATTTGTCTTTTTTTTATTAGTGCGCATGCGTAATAGTATGCAAATAATGCAAAATACGTTAAATTAATTTATGAATTGAGTTCGGCGCGACAGTAGCACAACGTTTGAAACCAAGTCGTGCTACTGCCGTGCGGCACGGCAAGGCCTGCCGCGCTAAGTAGTCGTGCTGAACCTAATTCAGCCGTGCCGCGCTTAATGGTTTTAAACGGCGCGCTACTGCCGTGCTTAAATCGAAATGACTATTTCATTTGAGTTCTGTACGGCAGTAGCACGACGTTTGGAACAGGCCTAAACTCCTTCTTCATCGACTGCTTCAGCTTTGAAGCCTACAGTTTGTGGAAGCGCCATCGCGTTTTTAGTCAACCGTACGTTTAGCTCATGCGATCAAAACAGGTTTGCGATCGATAAAGGCGGTCAACTTGTTTTGATGAATCTGCAATCGGTTACTAGGATACTTAGTGGTGTCCAGTGTCCCTGGGTAATTCTAGCGCCTCATTGCGCATGTGTCGATTTAGACCGGAATTCTTAATGAATTACACAGTTTGTCCGTGTTGAAGTTGTAATGTGACCAAAAATTGCATAAATTAACGTCAGAGGTTACGTATTTTAGAGAGACGTGATCACAAATGTTTTACAGAGGCCAAAAATTTTTTTCCCACCAACGTAGTGTTAAGGTCTTTCCTGTGATAGTATGTTTGTCGATATACAATGTTGCTCATTGGAGATATTTGAAATTAAAAAAACCTAATTTTTTTCTTTTGGAATAGCTGCATGACGCTGCAAACTGCCCTTAAGGTTGAAACAACCATTGGACATAATAAGATTAAATTCCATCGCATTCTGTTGGTGTGCGAGAAATTCGTTGGAAGCGCATTTTTCGAGCTAATTTTAGTCTTTTACCCCAGGGATTTGATGCGGGAGGTCTAATACCCCAAGGATTAGCCAGGAGCCCGAACTACTCTGGAGTACATGAAGTAAGTTGTTTCAAAATAACAGCATGCAAGATTAGAATTAAATTTACCTTTTAGATGGCGACACACCACACCAACGTCTTCATGATGCCCACAGTTGTGAACTCCCCATCCTCCGTGACTACACTGAGCTATCAATGTCTCGTTTCCAATGCATTTAACATCAACCAGCCATATCTGACCGGTTCCTTGTCCAAATGCTGCACCACCAGGTGCTGACAAAGCTCCTTCGTATCCAAGCTGTCGACAAACCACTTCAGCGTCCTGTAAGTCCCATGAGTTGTCACAAATGGTTCCCCATGTACTATTATGCAGCACTTCAACACGACCAGAAGACAGTGAATTGCTGGGGTTCACCAAACGAACTGCGGATGGAGAGGGGGAGAGAGAGAGAGAGAATTGTATTTAAAGTTTGTATGGTTCACAGTTGTAAGTCGTTGTAGCTTAAGCTTTCATATACTCTATTTAAGACGTTCATATTATATACTGTAAACTACGCCGAGAATAATAAGAGGAATCCCTCGATCGTTATGCTTTTCTTAGAGTAATTATCTTCTATAAAGTGGGTAAGTTTCTAAAGAAACTGTAGTGTTGCATCGATGGGAGAGTGTAACAGGGTAATTAGTATCATCAACTGAGTTGATAACTAAATTGGCCACCGTAAAGAGTTTAAAAGCTTAGCTTTTACACTCTTTACGATGGCCAATTTACGTTATCAACCTAGTTGATAATACTAAATTATCCAATCACTTTGTGACTGACACTTGAAAGTGTCAGTTACAAACCGGACACTCAAAATTGGCGTCACCAAAGGTTACTCTTAAACAGATCTTAGTGCTGGTTTACTGCATATAGCGTCACTTCTGACGAATTCACTTTGAACGCGTATCGCCTAACCTTTGGGTCGGCACACAACGCCAGCGTCTCTATTATGCCTACAGTTAAAGAGTTCCCATCCTGTGTGATAACAGTCCGATATCGCTATTTCATCTCCTACACACTGCACATAATCAAGCCATATCGGGCCAGTTCCTTGTCCAAATGCTGCATATCTAGGCGCTGATAAAGCTCCATCGTATCCAAGCTGACGACAAACTACATTAGCATCCTGTAGGTCCCATGAATGATCACAAATGGTTCCCCAGACACCCATGTGCAACACTTCAACACGACCAGAAGACAGTGAATTGTAGGGACTCGCCAAACGAATAGCTGTTGAAATAAGTATAGACATTTGTTAAGCAACGTGGAGTTGGTAAACTGAGCTATCACTCCTTCGGCGATGATTTCAATCTAGGAGCCTCCATTGGCTGAATATTTACCGTCGTAGAAATAGAAGAGACTGATTCTAGCATTATTCCGCCTTCCTCGTGTTACCTACAGAAACTATACCCAAGCCTCGTTCCTTTTAAATTTTCTGTGCTCATCATTTTTTACATGCTGATTGCCTGGCAACCAATTGATAAAGTGATAGCAATCCATTAATGATATAATTGAGCATGGCAGTTAGCCAATCTAAGTCCCGAGCAGCTATTTTCGAACATTATTTTCATCATCGATGAAGGTGTTCATTTCCCGAACAAAAGTAGCTCACTCGATCTTTGCTCTCACCATTTCAGCGATTTCAGTCAGAGAGTCTCCTCAGATTCTTTGGCTCATAAGTATTTTGCAAAGGTGACTCTCTGAATTTCGAAACCTTTACTGCTAACAGCAGCAAATTATCTTAATCCTCAATTGTCTTTCAGAACTGCCTCTTTTCTTAGGAATTCGTTGATGGTTTAAAAATGGAATCCTGTATCGTTGCAACATGTTAGGTACGCTTATTCGCATGAAAGCCATATAGATAGTCGAAGCGATAAAATTTCTTCTCTTTGAATTCTGAGAATATCTTGAACGTTTTACAGTTTTGGGTATGGGTGCTATGTAAATATACCTTGGCTTTGCATTTATCGGTTTAGTTCAGTTTCGCTTCTTTTTTTAAGTTTGTAGTGAAGTCGATCCCTTCTAGACATAATAAATTTCATTTTGAAACATAAAAATAGTGACCCAATTCCGTTCAGCGAAAGCAGACAGGGATTATATATGTTGCGTTCATAATTGATTAGCTGAGTGCAAGTAGACATATGCTGGGCTTAAAACGGTTCAAGAGTCTGTCCACGAGAGGACCGGGTAGGCGTGACACGTGCCATCTCACCGATTTCTTTCGAACTCCCTCAATTTATGAGGGTTAATAAGTTATTCAAGGCTTCAGAGTGGTTCGAGCTCCCGGCTAATACCCGGGGTATTAGTGCCTCCACATCAAATCCCTGGGGTAAAAGAATAAAATTAGCTCGAAAAATGCACTTTCAACGAATCTCTCTCACGCTAACAGAATGCGATAGATTTTAATCTTATTTTGTTCACTAGTTGTTTGAGCCTCAAGGAAACAATTCGTAGAAGTTGGAATAATTTGATATAGCTTCTGCCAATTTAGAGCAGTTAATCATTAATTGTGTCACGAAACCATTCCAAAAAAAGACAAAATTAGGGTTTTTTAATCGTAAATATCTCCAATGGGCAACATTGTATGTCGACAAACATACTATCACAGGAAATACTTATCCTAACATTATGTTTTCGGGCAAAAAAGTAAAGCATTCGTGATCACGTCCCTCTGAAATACGTGAACTCTGACGTTAATTTATGCAATTTCTGGTCATAAACTGATGTCTATTCAATTTCAATAGCGTTAAAAGGGACTGATAATGAAAATTGGAACTTTTAAGATCCTTTATTTTTAAAAACAACACTTTCAGAAACCTCTCCCTGCCTTATTTTACAGAAATCGGAATCTTGATAGATCCTTTACATCTTAGAAGCAAACTTCACTCGTCAGAACTCAGTTTTTTTCCTTTTTAACTCGTGAATAGCGCGCATGCGCAAGAGCGAGTTATAGATACGATGTGGGAATGGCATTCGCTCGCTCGATTGGTCGATTCCTGTAAACTTTTTTGAGATTTTAGGCTTTTGAGTACATTTGATAGTTTTTGGCGAGCAATAAACAGACGAAATGGCGACCTTTGTTGCTAAGAATAGTGGTGGGGTGAAAAAGAAGTCAATGATAATCTTAAAAGAGTTTTTTTTTTCGTTTTAGTTTCAACAAGCGGCGCCAGCGACTGGCAGGCATGCAAGGATTCACACTGAAATAACAGAACAACCTTCGTTTTTCATAATTTAATTTACAGTCCTTGAACTTGAAAACAATCCGAAGATTCATTGAAAATATCACTTACTGCGAAGCGCTCGGAGTTTACAGATATTCAAAAGCTTTTTCTGTTATGGCGTGAGATTGAGGACAAAATTAATAATTATGTTTCGTCGCGTGTATTTTTCCTGTTTTTCCTGTGTGAAGCAACAGAAGATGCCGACGACTGACGAAATTACAAGTTAACACGAAAATCAAATAACACCTAAACAAACAATTTTAGCTACCGATTTTCAGTGAATTTTTAAAGAACAATTTTCTTTTAAGTTTCAAGACAATTTGAAGATTCAACATACATACAACGTACTAAAATGCGAAGGTTACACACCACAAAATTGATAAATAGGCCTGAAATGAAATTCTATCTTGTTATTGATTATACGTTGCCTAGCACGTGACTTAAATCTACCCAGGCGGAGATCCAAAATGACGGTGGCAGGCTTGGCTTAGTTATATCACTCAAAACTCGTCCCCTTTTTTCTCATTTGATAAAGAGGGAATCGTTAATGTTTTCATTCGACAATATTGCCTTGATTTTCTAATATTTACAATGAAAGACAGTAAATTTCACTTTTCACTCACATTTACTTCCAACCTTTTCTTTTGAACCAGAAACAAAAATGATAGACGTTTAAAACACATGACATCATCCACCATTTTCAAATGTGATAGCATGATTATTTCAATTGTAATGCCTTCTTATCCCAACGTTACTTTGTTTCTTTGCTACATTAGCGAACACTGAACTACTGCTCGTACTCTAGATATGACAATCAACCACAAAATTCCCTAAACCAGATAACATTAAACATAATCTAAAAAATCATATGTCAATTCACGAGTTTGCTCACAGAGCACTTTGATTTTGTTTTGTTTGGTTTTGTTTTTTCTTTTAAGTAAAGGTTAAATGTAACAGGAACACATGTCTTTCTATATCAAGTTACCCCAACTTCAACGGATTGTTTCCTTAGGGTTCAAACAAATATTGAACAAAATAAGATTAAAATCTATTGCATTGTTAGTGTGAGAGAGATTCGTTTTAAGTGCATTTTTAAAGCTAATTTTAGTCTTTTACCCCGGGGATTTGATGCGGGGGCTCTAATACTTCAGGTATTAGCCGGGAGCCCGAATCACTCTGAAGTCTTGCATAACTTAGTGACTCTCATAAATTGTGGAAGTTTGAAAGAAATCGGTGAGATGGCATGTGTCACGCCTGCCCGGTCCTCACGTGGACGGACTCTTAATTTCAACGTGCACGATTACTACAAAAGCTAAATGGCTCTGTAGATAGTAAGAAAAAAATGATTTTCACGTAATTTTAACAAAATTAAGTTCTCTCTTTTTCCGGGAGTAAAGCCAACAGTTAGGCTTTTGTATCGGAAAAGACATCCCACTGACTCCCAATATAAGCGAAAGGACAAAGGATTCTGGAAAATTACCAAAACATTTTTAAAACATGTTTGTCATCACGGATTTTGTGAATATCTTATTGACGCAATATAGTCTCAAGGTCACAAGTGCTTGTTTTTTTTGGAGTGGTTGACGCCACTGCTACTGGCGTCAATCACACTATTAGGGGTTGTTTCTATGTCAGGACCATTACTTAATCGAAGGTGGATAACACAAAATGCATTCGCAATATTCTCCTGAAAAATTGAACAGTAAAAGGCAAATGATGATATTTTGTGCGCGAGTTGTCTCTTTACCTCCAGGTCTGCAAAATACGCCAGCGTCTTTAACATGCCCACAGTCGTGAACTCCCCAACCTTCGTGACTGCACTGTGCTATCAATATCTCATTTCCAATACATTCAACGTTATCCAGCCATATCGGGCCAATTCCCTGTCCAAACGTTGTATCACTAGGTGCTAATAAAGCTCCATCGTATCCAAGTTGGCGACAAACTACATTAGCGTCCTGTAAGTCCCAAGAGTCGTCACAAATGGTTCCCCATGTACCATTGTACCACACTTCAACACGACCAGAAGACAGTATATTGCTGGGGCTCACCAAACGAACTATGATTAGAAAAAGAAACAAGATAGCTCACTTGACGAACTGTATTTCAGTATTTCTGTGGTTCACCGTAAATTTTTGTCTATTTACATAGCTTCATGTAAAATAAAGTTGGTAAAATTGAGACGACATTTAAATTAAATAAAAGAGGAATTCTTCAAATGCTTTTTCCAAAATTTGATTGGATCGTTTTCGAGGAAAGTAAATGAAGTAGAAAGCGGATCCTTTACAGTTCCCGTCTAGCAGGGTTAGCCTTGGTTCAGTACAATTGAATCTGGTTAAAGAAAAAGCACTTCCAAGGATTATTCGAGAGCAAGATAAAGATTACTTTGAAGAGTCTACTTTGTAAGTGTATCATCGCCTTACTTCTGGGTCGGCATACTACGCCAGCGGTATAATAATGCGAACAGTCATGATCTCCCCATCCTCTGTGAACACACTCTGATATCGATGACTCGTTTCCCCCACACTGCACTTCATCCAACCATATCTGACCTATTCTTAGTCCAAATTCTGACGCCCGAAATGCTGCTAAAGCTCCTTCGAATCCAAGTTGGCGACAAACTACAGCAGCGTCCTGTAAGTCCCAAGAGTCACCACAAATGGTTCCCCACACACCTTTGTACAGCACTTCAACACGACCAGAACTTGACGAATTGAAGGAATTAACCAGACGAACAGCTGTTATTACGGAAATACAAGTTAATCAGTTATCGTAGAACCAATAAACTTGAAGTAAAAATTTTGATCCTAGAAATTGGAAGTATTTGCCCAGCGAATCTTTCATTAAGGAAAGATGAAAATGTTTGCTAAAATTCTTTACCGTCTATCGTTAAGTTGAAATGATGGGTATTAAAGGATCCTAGTCAACCAAACCTAGCCTTTGTTTACAAACAGGCAACTACGGTGAATCCGTTTTTCGCAACTTGAAAATAATCATAGGTATGGAGGTCAACATTGACGATTTTGACACCCTTTCAGAGGTGTAAGTATCTAGCTCTCTCGGGCCATCTATTTTAACGGCTTTAATTGCTCTTAGTGGAAGACCTAAATTTTTTCAAAAAATATTACAACTTAACTTAAAACTCAATCTCCTATTTATTTGTCTATCTAGGAAAAGCCTTATGCGTAAGAGTGACCTCTTCCTTTTTCTCCTCTGGCATTATCAATTACATCTACCCATTGCCTGCACTGAAGAATGACGATTCTAACTTTGATGATTGTCGCCAAAAAGTTAGAGAAAGAAGGTAAGTCACAATTGTGAATTTTGAAGGGCTGGTGTTTTCAACTCTTTAGTTACTCAAGAGGTAAGAATTTTTGATATGGCAATAGATAATGATCGCGTGTCGTTGCTTTACCTGAAGGTCGGCAAACCACACCAGCGTCTTCATTATGTCCACAGTTGTGAACTCCCCATCCACCGTGATTGCACTGCACTATGTCTTTCTCATTTCCTCCACACCTAACGTCGTCCAGCCATATCTGGCCAGTTCCTTGCCCAAATGCTGCATCACCGGGAGCGGATAAAGCTCCATCGTATCCAAGCTGATGACAAACGACTGCAGCGTCCTGTAAGTCCCATGAGTTGTCACAAATGGTTCCCCATGTATCATTGAACCACACTTCAACACGACCAGAAGACTGTATTTTGCTTGGGCCCACCAAACGAACTGTTATCAATATGTTGATATAAGTAAGCTTGTTTTATATCGTACAGTTTTCTAAACCATGTGTTTTGCAGAAGGACAGATAGTTTTCGCAAACGTAAAGGATTATAGCTTTCATCTAGTAAAAGGAAGCTTCTCACAGAACTTTTTAAACCGTAAACAGTTTATTATACGAGACTAAACTGGAAGTTGAGGTTGGATCGCACATGAACCCGTCACCATAGACTGAGGAGTTTGGATGATTGAATCACACGTTCGCAAACTCAGTTTTCAAATCAGTCTACCTTGCACGTGTGCTGTTAGTTATGCGTCATCGAAATGTAAAGGGACAGGCACGATAAGAATCCATTCTAATTCAATCTAATCCAATAAAGGTAAGTCTAGTTTACTTATTCAATCTTTATTCAATGGCTAATACAACCCGTTTTCAATAGCTTACTTGAGAATTCATTGGTAACTGTGCTAAGCAAATCTGTCAGCTGAATTCCACCCTGCCACTGATATAATGTGCTGCCGTTGTTTATTTCCCTTATGTTGATAACAGTGTGTTGGCAAATTTTTAAGGTCAAACCTATTGAGTTTGTTAACGAAGCACAATCCAATTTAAGATGGCCGGTCCTTTTGGTAATTGAGGTTCGACTTTGGTTAGCAAAAAGATTTTGCGTTCTATGATTAATGCTCACCAAATTCGTCCGGGTATATTTCATTGATATGAAATATTCGTTAAGTTGGCCTTGAATTCACTGTAAGTAAACTGACATGGAAAACTGAACGAAAAAGACATGTAAAGAATGTGTGGAAAGAAACTAGAACATTCTTCAAATCACATATTAGCTTAATCTGAAGAAAAGTGAGTTAAGAGATTTGTGAACGATTGAGGTAGGACAAAAAAATAAGAGGAGAAAGTAATTAAAATCTCCTCTGAATTTGTGCTTTCCGGAAGAATTGGTTTGACCTCGGGAAAGCGAATTGTACAGCTTGACCATGGTAATTGGATTAACTATGCTTTTTGGTTTTCTACCCAAATAGCACAAATTTGAGATAATGGTTTGTCTCACAAAACATGCAACCAATTGCAATTCATCTCGGGTGAAACATACTGGGGTTGTGTCGAAGATTCTTGTGATATGATAATTTTGCTTCTAGAGCAGGAAACTAAGAGGACAGTCGCTGAAATCGAAACTCATTGTAGCGAGGCGTTAAAAAATATGCAGGTAACCACCTGGTCAGAATACAGATAGATTTCAGTTAGAGTAAGAGAGTGGTTTTATTTTTATGAGTACTTTGGTTAGGGTCTCGCGGTTTCCTGCTCCGTTATACTCATTCAATTCTACCTGAAGTTTCTTTTCAAAGCCTCATTTCATCATGGGATTAACCATATTAGCTACCTCTTCAAGAGGTTTCCATGCTATTGGCGTCATTATCACCTTCGACTTTGACTTCGATATGCTCGTAAGAGCTAGTCCGAACTCTTTTAAAAGCTTTTATTTCGTGTGTCGACATCAAGTCGGTCTTTGGAAATTATTTTCAAACGAACGCTTAACAGCAATAGCGTGGCTATTTCCCGCTTGCGTGTTGATTAGGCGTCTGTTCACTTTCAAAGGGGGCATACTTAGTTCGCACTGACGTAACACAATTTTACGTGACTCTTTAGTGCGGTGATGGAATACCGTTGCACTTAACCAGATATTTCTCAAGGAGAGTAAACAAAATGGGTACTACAGAATTAGATATGCCCGTTAAAAAAGGTTGTGATATAAATGTTTTTCTCCCCAAGGTTACTGCTAATGGCGTTTACAGATAACACGGAAGGAGCAATTAAAAAAAAATAGGCAATGAGGTAGGTGGAAGGAAGTCTGTTCAAAAACCTTCTATTTGCTCCTTGTCCACATCACGAGCGTAAAAAGAACCTCAGCTTGCGCGTCGCGCTTCCTCGCCTATTTAAAAGAAAAAAAAAGAATGAATGAAGTTTGATATGTGGTGTTTACCAGCATAATTCTCTTACCGGAGGGTCGGCATACTACACCGGCATCATCACTGCTCCGACAGTAACTGTAGTGAACTCCCCACCCTAAATGATTGCAGTATGATATTAATGTCTCATTTCCCACACATTGCACGTCATCCAACCATATCTGGCCTGTTCCTTGTCCAAATGCTGCGCTACGAAATGCTACTAAAGCTCCATTGTATCCAAGCTGGTGACAAACTACATTAGCGTCATTTAAATCCCACGAGTCGTCACATATGGTTCCCCATATACCTTTGTATTGCACTTCAACCCGACCGGAATGTGACAAATTGTAGGAATTAACCAGACGAACAGCTGTTTAAGTGGAATAAGAAGGTAATCAGTTATCGTGATCCCTCAGTATTGCACTGAGCATTCTGTACTGCACTTAAAAAACTAAGTAACCGAGCAAATAAGCGCGCGCTCATTCCGTTAACATGATATTGATCCATCAATGGACAAGGTAAACAGGTACGATGGTCTTTTGCTCTTGAATGAGTACGGTTACCTTTATTTTTCATTGCATCATTATGGTTTATAAATTATCCCTTGAAACTGGAGAATTAAAAAAAAAATTATCGGAGGGGAAAAAAGAGCGTGCACGACGCCCGTAACTTGAGGATGCAAATTATGACCTTAAAAACAACGACTCGAGGAACGTTTTCAGTCGATGTAATTTAAAATTGCATTATTTTTCTTATATATAAAATTGTTTAATACGCTTTAGAAATTCTACATAACAAGTCTTTTTCAAACATCACTTAAAAAAACCCTTTCCTTCAGCTACCGCAAAATGTACCGTGAGTCGGCGAAACGACGCCCGTGATTAGTGCCATTGAAGTCATAAATGGGGTGAGTTTGGCCCATCATATCTCTTTAACAAGCATGGTAAACTATCTTTTGATTTATTGCCGGTTTTAACGGTATTTTTTAGAAACAGACACTGGTAGGGAGTTTTTGATAACTTTTTCCTTTTTACTCGGAGGAATCAAATCACATTATGAAGGAAAAGTACGAGCCTGAAAATGTTGCACTGGGAGATGTTTGTGTCATGAAAGTATTAGAATCTGTAAGCCTACGAATTACAAAGCTGTTTTATGGAAGTGAGCCAAAGGGCTGCTCTCCACAATGTGCCAATGTGCCCAAACTCACTTGTACCCTTTTTTCCTGTTAGATCAGGAATGAGCAGGGAAAGTGCAGCAGAATGGGATTACCGGCTGACAAACTCTATCGACTAGATTGTTAAGTTGTTTCTATTCGGTACGCCTCATTTGTGACCATGTCGAGACAGCTACTTGTGGAATCAACGTCTCGGACATGCGTAAGGAACACACCTCAAGAAATGCGTTCAGAGGTATTCGGTAAGAGGAATACATGTCAAGATAATGACTGAAATTTAAATCCAGTAGGGACAACCGAGTTTCATGAAGACAACTCAGGTGCTAAAGGAAAGGCAAGGACCAAGCACATCGATGTGTTTTGAATGGCTGATGTCCAAATTTTGCCATGACCTGGATGGCTTTGGGTGAAGATAACACTTCAGCGCAAAAACTTTCGACCGCTTAAAAGTTTCTTCCGGTACGGTCTGTTTACAGCTTAGGAATTCGAAACACGAAGGTGCATAGAGCTTTTGGTTGTAAAATCAAGAAAGGAACGAGTGAAACATGAAAATGCCGTTTTGCAGCTTTTCGAACACACAAGGAACTAAATCTTTTGTTGCTTCTTCCAGCCAGTTTAGTACTACATGGAGTAAACCTACACTCTCCAACTATCCTCTGTCGTTTTGGCATTTTAATTAAACATTTATATGGATGTGAACCACAGCCAGGAGTCAATGGGCTAAAAAAACACTCAGCATACAAATAAAAAACATGATAAATAATGGAAACGTGCTCCATATGGCATCCCTAGTTTTCTTGGTTTATATCAATGAAATCACTCGTTCCGGTTGGGCAAAAACAAGTTAAATCTCGATACTTTGACAACTTTAAAGTATTTTCCATGTACGGTAGCATTTATCTCTGAGGGGGCAATATATATACAATGAATCATGATACAATGCGCTGAACTCTTAATTTTACCTGCGGTTCGGCACACCACACCAGCGTCTTCACCATGTCCACAGTTGTGAACTCCCCATCCCCCGTGGCGACAATCTGATATTGAGGTCTCATCTCCGACGCACTTAACGTCATCCAGCCATATCTGACCTGTTCCTTGTCCAAATTCTGCCCCTCTTGACGCTGCTGAAGCTCCTTCGTATCTAAGCTGACGACAAACGACATCAGCGTCATGTAAGTCCCACGAGTTGTCACAAATGGTTCCCCATGTGCCATTGAACAGCACTTCAACACGACCAGAAGACGGCCAATTGGCGGAACCCACCAAACGCACTGTTGTCGATATGAGAATACAATTATACGTGGGCCAATCAACTGTGTTTCGATTTTTTTAGTGTAAACTAGCTGCAGAGCGTACCATGCTTGGTTGAAGGCAAAAAGAAGTCTAGACGTGTCTTTTTAGTTCTTATTTAACGCTATAACCTCCGACAGCTTTCTTTAGAGGTAATTAAATACGAACTATATGGTACACACATTGTACCATATAGTTAGTACTTACTTTCCTCTGAAGAATACGATTTGTAGGTATGTATGAGTGGGAATATGGGTCAACCTTCCATGGAAGATTAAACGCTTCTTGCTATATCATAAAATCAAACATTTTCTCGAGAATCTTACTAATGAATAAGAACGAGCCTAGTGTTGCCGAACAAATGATCAATCTTTGATTACCGAAGCCAAAACAAAATATTTAGTGTAAGTTTTAAGGGAGGTGTGTAGACAAACTAATCACGACCCCTGGTGGAAGTTGGACAATGTTGCCCAAATCAAGAAACCAGTCGCGATAGGTTACATCCAAATAATTTCTGAGTTTTAATTCACATCTTGACTAAATTCTAAATATAAAGAACTTGCTTAGCTATATAATAGTGACTCGGTAAAAATGAATTTCGTAATCGTAATTGCATTTTTCCAGTAGCTGTTGTTACTATTACGCATTACCCTCCGAAATTCAAGTCTCTTAATTTTCTACACATCAGTTCGTTCAATGGAGTGTGAAAAATTGGAAAAAAAAGAAAGAAAATGAGTGATTAGTCAACATAGGAATTGAAGCTAGTTTGTCTAGCTTCTTAGGGGTTCGTCAAGAGACCTTTTTTAATAAAGGAGTTACTTAGCCAGGTAACAGTAACCTCATAAGCTTACCTGTAGGTCGACAAACTACGCCAGCATCATCATAGTGACCACAGTTGTGGACGCTCCATCCACTGTGATGACAGTCCGATATTGAAATCTCCATTCCTACACAGTTAATGTCATCCAGCCATATCGGACCATTTCCTCGTCCAAATGATGCATCACGAGGTGCTGATAAAGCTCCATCGAATCCAAGCTGGCGGCAAACTACTTCAGCGTCCCGTATGTCCCATGAGTGGTCACAAATGGTTCCCCACATACCACTGTATCGTACCTCAACACGACCAGAAGATGAGTGATTGAAAGAGTTCACCAAGCGAACTGCTGTTTAGGCGGAATGCGAACGCAAAAAGTCTTAGATTCATGCAGTAGATAAACGGAAGCGTCTAAAAAGCTTAATTAGATGGTAACCATAATTTCCCTTTTCACATAGTTCAGATAAACACAATAAACAAATTAGGAACGGCATACATCAAACCCCCATGAAAACAAAGGACTTAATTGAATGTTGACAAAAGCCACATTCAAGTGTCCCAGAGTCTAAAACTCTTACTCGTATCACAAACACAAACAAAACCAGTGTTTGTTTAGTTTAAAATCGTTCATCAGCTTTTCCAAAGTTTGAGAAAACAATGAACATAAAATAACAACCATCAACTACCCTGTCATGGTGAAAAGATAGCAGTTGTATACAGTGATGGAGAGAAGCACGATACCCTGATAGACGAGGGACCATTGGGATATTATCCATTAATAGCGATGATACCGATCGCGAGAGATTCAGCTGTATTATGTTGTAAAAAACCAAGAAAGGAACTGGAGTGCGAAAGAGGTTTAGGATAAAGTAAGTAATCGAGGGATTTTTCGAATTGTTGGGAAAATGAAAAGCATTCTATGTTAAAGGCGACAATGCGAAGTCGATCTATTCAGTTTCCATGACGAAAATGTCATCTTCATAAATGAAACATATAACTTGTGTTGTCTCCGCAAATCATTGAGATATTATCTTTTATTTACATGAATAATGGTATGCCGTCATGTAGACATTTAGGTTTATTCATTGGTAGAGAACTAGTCCATAAATCCAAAACAGTCCAAAAAGGTTAAAATTGAGGACAGAAAGTTGATTGACGAGAAAGTCCCAAACGCACAACAAAGCAAAATGGGGGACTGACGGGGGAGAAATAAACAACGTCTAAAGTTAGGGTTTAAAGGAAAAATTCTACAAAAAAATGACCTAAAAGGTACAGAAGCCTGGCCAAACGTCTGGAAGTCTTGAAATTTCAAAAGGCTATGGCGGAAATTTTTAAAAGTACGAGGCGGAGGCTCTTAACGAAGTTCTTGAGAAGTTTTACGCAACAGTTCGTCAGTAGGAGGGGAAATATTACAAGCCTGATATCCTTCGAGTAATGTTACTTCCACTGAGCGATATCTAACAGAGAAAATGACATTAGCTCAAGAAGGAACAAGACGAGTTGCGTTTCCCTATGCAAACCTGTCCCAGCGAGTTCACATTCAGCTATCATATGTGCCAGATAAAGAAAACGGAAACAAAAAACTTCCAAACAAATTAAAACAATGCAGCGCAAAAGATGACGATGCTCCGCCTTTTGGCCCGGCTAAATGCCTAAGTAAGTGTAAATAAGTCTATACGTTTAGTTAGCATCAATGAGGGGTTTCACTGAGAATCCATGATATTTGCTATTTTTTAATTATAATTTTTTCTATTAATGAAACAGCAACCATATTCTATTCATTGGTAACCTAGTCATCTTTGTCTTCATCACCAATATCATAAACATCTTCAGTTCACCCAAGCGTCAAGCTTCATCTTCACCATGTTTACTGCCGTTCTATTAAGATTTAAATTGTTACTTCAATTGGCATTGCCATCATCGTTGTTATCATTATTGATGGCCATGATATATATATGTATATATTTTTTATATTTGAAAAATATGGCGACCCAATTTGCCAAACTAATTTCGTCTCCGTCTCCGTCTTCGTCTCCCCTTTCATGTCTACACACTTGTTAATTGAAGCCCAAAACATGCAAGTTTCTCATCTTCACATACATATGTTATTGATATTTTCAAACTGATTGACTGCAATTCAAATATTTCCCATGTTCTTCCAAAATATGTGCAATTGTCATATTCGGCGTACAGTGCACAACACAACTGCAGCTTTTACACTTTATCTCCCAGGAACTGTTAATTAAGCTAATGATTGGACAAAATTTTTTTACTTACAGTCTTTTTATTTTAAGAAACAATGGTTTTCTTTCACATTTACATGCTAGGTTTGATACTTATTTGTGCGTAACCGTCAGAGAGTGCGAAACAAAGATTTATGAGTTTTTCAAAGTCATGAAAACAACAGGTTATGGGCTCAAAAGAATTTTGTCCGGTATGGTGGAGGTGTGTCTTAGGTGCACAACATCCGGTGGTTGTTTCTATTAGGATCTTCGATTAAAGAAGAGTAAATTTGTGATGTGAAATGTCGATAAAACACGGAGGAGAAGTGGTCGATCAAAAAACTTAACGGGAGTAATTGGAACACTTACAAATTTCGAATAAAAAACATTTTATCATGGCCAAACTACTCTGGAGCTTTGTAGATGGTTCTGAGGTTCTTGCAATTGATGACTGGCCAGCGGCAGCGAAATTTTTTCCTGTCAACGTTATAGAAAGCGTTCTCGATAATTGTGTTGGCGATTGATGGTGCTCTGCCTCATTTGTGCCTCTTATCCGAAGAATCCAAACAAGCGTGAGATGGGCCGAGAAAAAAACTTTTTTACGAGGTACTCTTGCCAATAATCTGTTCTTGAAAAAGCTTTATTTTCGTTATCAGATGAATGAAGGGATATTGGCCGAACAACATTTAAAGCATATGAAAGATATGTGCCTTTGTCCAAAGAAATGTGCGGGAAGTTTGTCAAGAAGTTTCGCTACCCTGTTTTCGGCAACGAAGCTAGGAAGGACGCCCTTAGTCTTTATGATGTTAAGAAAGCACTCATACACGAGGAAGTGAAGCATGTGGAGCTACTCGGTTAATTAATGAAGCAGGGTAAGCATTAACTGGGCCCTTAGGAGAGATAGATCACGGAATCGGCCAACGTGCTTCAGACGTACGGATGTGGGTTATGTTTGCCGTAGTTAACCTACACAGGAGTGCCGATGGGAAAATTCTGACATCGAAGATGAATAGGTTTATTTTAAAGCATTAATGGCGTCCGCTTGGAACGTGAAATGTGCGAATGTAGAGTGTTGTACATTTCTGATTTACTCGGAGGAATCAAGTCACATTATGAAGGAAAAGTACGTGCCTGAAAATGTTGCACTGGGAGATGTTTATGTTGTGAAAGTATTAGGATCTGTAAGCTTACGAATCACAAAGCTGTTTTACGGAAGTGAGCTAAAAGAGCTGCTCTCCGCAATGTGCTAATGTGCCCAAACTCACCTGTACCCTTAAATTCGTGCAGTAGATAAAAAGCAGGTAAAAAGGTAACCATTATGGTTTACCGTTAAAAAACCAAGGAAAGAACTTAGTCTAGAGTGCAAAAGAAGTTTAAGATAAACACGAGACCCAATCAAGGGATTCTTCCAATTGTTGGGAAAGTAGGTTCGGCTCTAAACAACGGCTATGGCGAAAGTATCTAAAAGTACGAACCGGAGGCCCTTAACAAAGTTCTTGAGGAGCTTTACGCAATAGTTTGTCAGTAGGAGAGGATATATTAAAAGCATGACATCTTTCGTGTAATGTTACCTCCATTGAGCGATACCAAACAGAGTAAAAGCACAACGCTCAACTATTCGTGACAGAGAGTTTTAAAGCATAAGCAAGTTCTAAACAACTTTTCCAACTACAAGGCAAAGGGAAAATGCCGAACAAGGGAAGAAGTCTGTCGACCGAGGAAAATGAGCTGGCTGAAAAAATAATAAGTCGAGTTTACAGAGAACCTGACAAAAACATAAAAACTTGAAGGCTTTCTACGCAAATTACTTGCAACTGGAGGTGAAGAAAGCCCCTTATAATCTTCAAAAAGTTTCTAAAGCATAGTCCTCCCAGAATGCGTAAAACCGGTCCACTTTATCTGTCTTGTGGGTCAAATCCATCCTTGATGAGGATGAAGAAATTCAACGACGCGATGACAAAAATGTTGTACTGGAAGATGGTTGTGTCGTGAAAGCATTAAGATCTGGAAGCCTAAGAATCAGTATGTACGTGCTAAACACACTTGTACCCTGTTTTCTTTATAAGCTAAAGCTGTCAGGCCATTAAATAAAGGAAACAGCTTCACTGTGGTTGATAGTAGCATCAGAAGCTCCATCGATCAATATTTTCAACATTTTCTCACCGCGCCCTCGAGGTGGAAAAAACTTCAACCAAACACCTTTTGTATTTCAGATGCCAAGTTTTACATTTGGCCAAAATGGTCAGCTCAGTATTTTATGAATGTAAACCACTTCCACCATTGTTAAGTCAATTTCAACAATGCAAACTCAGCAGCTCGTAGAAAAGCTTCAATTTTTGAAACTACCAGGTCACCGATTTCGTCTCGACCGGAATCCACCAGAAATATTGAAAATTTGAGTTCTTAAAATAAAAAGGTTATTCAATCTTCATTTCTCTTTGAATTCCAGAAAATGGAAACGCTCTCGAATAATGTAAGCTTCCTGGACCTGACCTCTGTCGATTAAGAAGATATTTTTGATCTATAAGCAAATGTTGGCGAGTCAATCAAAGTTGTCATTTTTCAACCAATTACGTAAATGTTGGCGGAACCAGTGAGCCATGACATGACCGGGATAAACACGGCCAAAGACGAAAACAGATTCAATCTTTTGCATATACATTATTTACATACAAGTAAGTATATGACCAATCTCTTGCAATTCGACATAAATTAACACAAGAAGAATTTTGAAAGAGAACAGATTGCCTTCCCTTTTCTTGCTCGGGCAGTTTAGTCAGCCTTTGGAAAATTTCTCTTGGTAATTTGTTCCAAATCGCAATCGAATTCATGTGATTGTCTATGAGAACGAATCATAACAAAATGTGTACGTACCTGCAGGTCGGCACACCACACCAGCGTCATCGTTATGTCCACAGTTGTGAACTCCCCATCCTGCGTGATTGCACTGCGCTATTACTGTCTCATTTCCTACACATTTAACGTCATCCAGCCATATCTGGCCAGTGCCTTGTCCAAATGCTGCTTCACCGGGTGCTGATAAAGCTCCATCATATCCGAGCTGCCGACAAACTACTGCAGCGTCCTGTAAGTCCCATGAATCGTCACAGATGGTTCCCCATGTACCATTATACAGCACTTCAACACGACCAGAAGATAGCGACATACCAGGGCTTACCAAACGAACTGTTGATGGGAGGATACAAGTTAGCTTAAATTTGCGACAAAACTTGCCGACGCATTGAATGGACGTACCCACCATCAGTTAGTGTTAAGAAATGAAATTTAAAACTACCGGCAACTCGCTAATAAACCCCTCTAAGTCCGTTTAGTGGCGCACACTCTCAGAAAAAAAAAATGTGGAAAATTGTTCAGGAAGAGAGAGGAAAGGAGATTTAGGGTCAGAGTTAGGGTATGAGGAGAAAAAAAAAGTGTTATATACGAGAAGATTAAGATGTTGTCAGCTATTTTAGCAAATTTTACTAATACATTGTAATAATTGATCGAAAGAGCTCCGTTTTAAGAAGTTAATCCGTTCATATAGAACTACACTGTATAAAAGTAGACTTATGATGTTCTCACCAAAATAAAAAAGAACCCATAGTAATAATTTTCAACGACCAGTAATAGTTGTTCTTAACTACGTCTGTCGTACTGAACTTAAGCGGCATTGGATCTGGAGACTTGAAAAAGCGTGCCTAGCAAGATTAGCTTGGCACAAGAGGCATAAATTTTTTCCCACGGAAGGAGAAATTCAAAAGTGAGAGATAACAATGATATTTTCCTAGTTCGACTAGTATTGTTACGCTACCTTGTACGTGCATCGTAGCTTTACCTTTAGGTTGACACACTACTCCAGCGTCTTCATGATGCCCACAGTTGTGGACGCCCCATCCTCTGTGATAACAGTCCGATATCGAAATCTCCTTTCCTACACATTGAACGTTATCCAGCCATATCTGACCAGTTCCTTGTCCAAATGGTGCAGCATGGGGTGCTGATAAAGCTCCATCGTATCCGAGCTGTCGACAAACTACTTCAGCATCTTGCGTGTCCCATGAGTCGTCACAAATGGTTCCCCATGTACCATTGTAAAGCACTTCAACACGACCCGAAGATGGCGAATAGTTGGGATTCACTAAACGAACTGTTTGTGGTTAAAATTTAAATACACGTCAGCAACCCAAAAATTATATCTAAGCAGGAAGTTAAAAGCTACACATGAAACGAGTGAGGGGAACATATCAATTTTTTTTTTATTTTGGAGATATTCGAAAACAAAAACAAAACAAAACAAAAAAACCAAGCATCATAGTCGACGAAAGCGGTATCGCTCGCACCACTCAGATTACACAGGTTATTATTCTTGCACAAGTCAGATTCGTTTGGAAATACTGCTCACACCAGTCAAATTACACCAATAAGGTTTGTTTCCCAGACTGCGGCATTGGTATAGGTGGCATTTCCAACAAGTACGATTGAATTGATGCCGACATTCGAAGGCAACCTTTTTTGTTGTGTAAAAAATAAAAAAAGGAATTTCTTTGCCTAAATTTACCTAGAAAATACACTCTAACTAACGGTGAAGTCGAGCTTGGTGAAAGCGCAGGCTTAATCCAGCAGCGGGTTCACATAAACCATTGGACAGATTTCCCATGATTTCCTCGGCTCTGCATGTAAAGCCCTTGATATTACGGCAAAGCTGAAAACTCAGTTTACTCGAACAGACTAATAACACTCAACTATCAACAACTCTTGACCTACGCTGAGGTATTCGAAATATCAGTCCCTACTACCCACAGAACTTCTTAGTGCTTCTCACGCCCGGACAATCAGATAAAAAAAGTGTACTTATCATTTGAGCGAATCATTATGATAATGCAGGAGTTGATGCCCTTTGACACTAACCTGTAACACTTACTTCTTTCGAGAGAAGCATCAAAATACCTGAAATTAAAACCATGAAAATGTTTTTTTGGATTGATTTTTGAAAGCCCAGTGATGCCCTTAAATACTCAAAATTACTAGCCGGTAATCATTAGCGTTCCTTCCCGAGAACCTTCTCTGTGTCAGGAGCTGATTAGGTGGTCAAGTTTGCCTATACAAACCGGTTTTTCAGTTTTTTTTCTTGAATGTTAAAGCATTTTTTTAAGATGAGTTTTTTTGCTTTAGTAATTGTGAGTTGTTTCATTTTTTTTTTCTTAAGGGACTACCTCTGATCATAATTAGTTCCTGTTATGAGACTTAAATATTAATTACGCTCTTGTTGGCTGAGGTTAAGTTCCTTTGGATGAGGGTATGTTAGCAGGCTTGTACTGTGTTGTTTTAGGTAACAGAACAGAACTGATTTTAGTCAAACGTAGGTAAGCGTGAGGTGGGCGCGAAGTGCCTCTGTTTGCCTTGAAAAACGCCGCAAAAGTCACCCTGTTCTGCAGGCTATGGCACACTGTATCTCATGTAATAGACTGGACTGGGCTGGACTGTATCGGTAGACCTGTCACGTACTAATGAAAAATAGACGCAAGAAACGTTTTGTCTGTATTCAAACTGTCCTCTCTTAGCCAAAGAATGATGACTACTTTTAACAGAAGCAGAAGAAGCATAAGCATGAGCATTAGCTAGCATTAACATAGTTATAGGTTTTTTAAAGGGCATTGTTAACATTGTTGACGAAAGGAAACTGTGCCCGTCTCAGAGTGTGAAAAGGGCATGTAAACGTACACGCTCCAAGCGTGACGCCTTGTGAGACCGGGAACAAACAATAAAAAAATATCGACAACAAAACTAGGGAAAGAATAGTAGTTTTGACTTAACAATAGAAAAAAGGGAAAAGAATATGGTTTTTACTTAATCGACTGTCCACTCTGACAAGTAACTGATATAACACGATTGAAATTATTTTGAAAATTCGCAGAATCAATTTTGGTTACATGCAACGTTTTTCAAAAGCGACCTTAGTGCTCCAGATATGCAAATAAATACGGATGGATGGGTTCTTATTGTCTTCATTTTACTTACTTGTGTTTTATCAATTCGCGCTCTAGTTATCAGCGTTTTACCATTCCTTGTTTTATTAATCCAGACGAGCCTAGCGCAGACCAGCATGTGATATACAGTGGCCTTTTTGATACACTTCTTAAACTCGCTAATTATTCATGAGGTTATCAGTTAAAGAGAGGAAAGTATTTCGTCACATACATGAATTTGGATACTCGATAATAACGCATATCTAGATCACTAGTGAGCTCTTTTTTGCGTTTTAGAATTGCCTTTGGAAAAAAATTCCATAATTCACTCTTCAGTTCGAAATTTCTAAGGGGCGTAAGCGATTCAGTTCTTCATCTGCTGTGGCACCCCACCAGTTTATAAGCTGCACGACTCTCATTTCCTCATCTTCCACAGTTGCAAACAAACTTTTTGTTGAAATGAATATCTACTCGCTTAACTGAAATTGAAACTGTGGTGCTGCGTCGGTGGAAGAATGTAATAGGGTAATTAGGTATTATCAACTGAGTTGATGACATAAATTGGCCACCGTAAAGAGTTCAAAAGCTGACGTTTCGAGCGTTAGCCCTTCGTCAGAGCGATAGCGATTTCAGTGAACCTTGAATTAAACGCAAAGGCATACACAAGGGAAAATTCAATGCGGTGCAGTTTTCAATAATCAGTGCGTCTGAGCCACGGTTTATATCGTTATCAAACTAAAAGATAAGCCTTTCCTTCACATGAGTTTGAACATGCACTAGATTAAACTAAGACAGTTTAATTTTTCGCTCTTGTTTTTCATTGCGTGATAACAAAGTCAGGCTTTGCCCTCATTAATTATCACGCGATAGAGATTTCGAGCCACAAACTAATTTGTTCTAAATGCATTTAAAAAATGAACTCATCATAATAAAAAGTGCTTACTTCCAGGAAGAAACACAAACATTCCAAGCTTCATTGCAAGTACTTCAAAGATCCTGACGAGTAATTAATTTCACATTCCACAATAGCTCCACGGTACCACAGACTTCTTTAGCCCTGAAGCGTACAACAATAAGATTGTTTTCAATCATTCATGTATGAAATTAAAGCAGTAGATTTCAGAAGGAAATGTTTCGTTTGATAAACACAATGTGAGAATTGTGTATGTATTTTCTTGTGTTTGCTTGGTCCAAAACCAAGCTAGTATCCTATTCGCTATTCATTAGCTTATTCTATAGTTGGACGTAATAAGTTTGGTTTTGTTTTGTAAGTAACGTCAGTATTGTTACGTCAATGTTTGTTTTGTATGCATTGCAAATTAAAAGTTATCGAAAAAAACATGCAAATCAATTTGTTAGTTGCAGACATTCACAAAGGTGAACTTGGTAGCTTACTCAGTTACTCTCCCGTAAAGCTTTCGTCGTATTTTTGTAACTGGTTCCAGAAAATTTTGATCAAATGAGCTTCAGGCTTGCCACGAACTTTCTTTCGCTAACCATTGTCACTTTTTTTTTAAAATAAAGATAGGATAGACAACAGAATAAACAACCGAATTCTCCATCTCACAAAACAAGACATCCAAGACCTGCTAACCATCATTCTCAAGAACATGTACTTCACCTTCGAAGGCCAAGTGTTTCTCCAATCAGAAGGCCTACTCATGGGTTGTAGTATCTCAGGCATCTTAGCGATACTCTTCATGGACAAACTCCAAAATATCGCTCTCTCCTCGCATCGATTCATCGAACCCTACAAACGATACGTGGACGACATCTATCTACAGACAACTAGTGAAAACACAGCCGATGAATTCTACTAGACGATGGATGATCTACACCCGCCTTCGACAGTATCTTACGCACCAACGGCTATCCTGAAAAGGTGATACTCAAAACCAAACGACCCCGCAAACGCCGACATCAACCACGACAACAACACTCCAATAGAGATTGGCTGTACTTCAAAATCCCATTTATTTCTGACGGATTAGACAGAAAGATCACCAAATTTTTCAGAAAAAAAGAAAAAAATCCACGTTCGAGTAACCCATAAAGCCCACACTCTTAGAAACGCCCTATCCACCGAGAGAGACGAACCGGATTGTAAACGCACCAACTGCCCTGTCGCACACAGAAAGTTCTGCTTACGAAGAAACACCATCTACAAGATCACAAGCGAGAGATGCCAGCAATTCTACGTCGGCAGCACCAACCGATATACACACCACCGCGTAAAAGAACATTTAAACAAAAACAAATCATCCGTGTTCAAGTACTTACTCGCACGCCAAGGGATCACCAAAAACGCGAAGCAATAAAGATTAGAAAACTTAAGCCCGAAATCATCTCTCGGGAGAAGTGTGCAGGACTCAAAGAACTTTTATTCTGACTACATCATTTACTACATTTATTTTCTGCATAGACCTTTTGCTCTAAATATTTCTACGCATTTACATACCTGCCATTGTCTTGTCCTATTGTCTGCTTAGCCCCTATTATCTAGCCTTAAACCTCGCTCGGTACACTCTTCACTTCAAAGATTCCATCTACATTCCCAGCATACCTGGCCTCACTTGATTTACACGTCCGACTTTATAACACTATGCTACTCAAGGACAGCATCCAACGCTCTTAGAGGTTTATTTTCAAGTTTTAATCGACATTTGAAAGAATGCAGATATTCTGTCGGTGTCATCAAAGACGTTGCTTTTGAACTCGCAAGAGCAGACCTGGCCTCACTTGATTTACACGTCCGACTTTATAACACTATGCTACTCAAGGACAGCATCCAACGCTCTTAGAGGTTTATTTTCAAGTTTTAATCGACATTTGAAAGAATGCAAATATTCTGTCACTGTCATCAAAGACGTTGCTTTTGAACTCGCAAGAAAATGTCTTAAAGCTACAAACAAGCTACAAACAAGCTACAAAAAAGGAGGGCAAAGGTAATAAACCTAAAACAGCAGAAACCCTAAGCAATGAAGAGGTCAATATCTCTACGAATAAAACCGCCTGGGACTTTCAAACCAAGAAGCATTGGTAAACACACTGTGGCTCTTCATTTTACTGCATTTTGGTCTACGAGGACGTGAAGAGCATCGGCAATGCGCTGGGGAGACGTTCAGCTCATGAATGATGCAGATGAAACTGAATATTTACATATTTCTGAAAGACAAACTAAAACTAGAAGTGAAGCTGATCCACGTAATTCTCGATCTATTAAACCTAAAGCTTGTGCGACTCCAGATTTAACGAGATCCTATTGTTGTTTTCAAGATCTATTCTGAAAAGAAACCAGAATCCAAGAACAAACCAGGTGCACCCTTTTGTGTGGGTGTTAATCACACTGCAAAAAAACTCTGATAAAAGTTGGAGTTTAAAGCCAATGCATTGGGAGTTAACAAACTCAACAGTCTAATGAAAACAATGGCTGAGAAGGCCGGTCTTGACAACTCTCACCGTACGAACCACAGTGCTCGAAAACGAATGATTCAAACATTTAATAATAAGGATATTCCTCCTAGTCGTATAATGCAGTTATTAGGACACAAAAATTTGCAGAGTATCAACAACTACAGTCATGTTGCACAAAAGCAACAGAAAATTATGTCAAGAATATTGAGTGGCTCGACTTCAATAGGTCAAACTGAAACACACTCTCTTGTCGAAACAACAAAACAACAAAGTTCAA